GTCGCAATTTATGCAGACATTCACTTACATATAACCACATAAACACACACACACAGCACACACACACACCTTTGCATTTTTGCTTAATACCCGTCGAAAAGAAAGTTTTGTCGTAAGTGCATTGGCCAGTCCTCGTCAGACTGATGGATGGCATGACAGAGTGCCATTGAGGGAGAGAGATGGGCAATTACTGGGGAACTCTGACTGGAAACGGGTTTTAGTGGCCAGATGATGTACTCAATATCTGGTGGCACGGATCTACACTGCATCCTCGTATCGTTATGTGCCCTAAAAACAGGGAAACGAGAGAATTGAGAGCTCCTTTCCAAGTGGAGTCCTTGAAATCCTTGAGTAGGTAAATTTATAGTGTGATTAACCAATACAATATTTTTCCTGGAATTTTTGTGTTCTTCTATGGTCCCAAGACCCCAAAGGGATACCAATATAGCACAAATTAACGCTTTCGTAAAACAACTATTTCAATATTAGTGTAGATGAAGTTCTGGCACCCCCCCCCGTCCTGTGCCCCAGTGGGAGAGAAAGAGAGAGCACAAATGGCTGGCATAAAATACAATGCTTAATGCTTTAATAAAATGCCTCCAGGGGGAAGGCTCTTACGGACACACATGGATGTTATTCAATTGCCTCAAGGAGAGCGGAGACTGGGCCCCCCCACCAACAAATTAAGCATTGACTACAGTGTCCCTGCCAGGGCTGGCAAAAGTGGGAAGACTCAGGGCTTGCCCCCTGGCCCAAGGAATGTGCACTGAAAACAAAGGGAACAAATAAAGTAACAGGTAAAACTTTACATATTACTCGTAGTTTATTCTAAAAAATTGTGCAAGTGGTCAACACATAATGCCTGTTATTTCCCAGTGTACAACAGCACTTTAAGCACTGCTCCAGCTTAACACCCGTCGTCTTTTCCGGGCCCCGCCTGGCCCTCAGCCCTTAGCCACCTGCCAATGTTACACTTTGCTTGGGCAACAGTTTCTGTAGCTGTACCCAGCAGCTGAAAGGTTGTTTGGGTGCATCAATTTCTATAGATTTTACAGTGGACTTTTTAACTGTTTTTTAAACCATTGAAAAAGGGTTTATGCCAGGAAAGTTTTTACTTAATTTCTAAGATTTATTTTTGAATACCAAGAAATTTTAGGTAAAGTGTCTCCCGACAAAAGTCGATAGTTTTAATGCTTATTCCAGCGGAAATCAAGCCGATAAAAGATACTAGTATAATGGATAATGGACACCACGCAGATGATGTCCTTCACTTACCTTTGAACGATAGAAACCGATAGGAACCGAGGTATTAAAATATAACCATTTTAGTAGACACATCTGTGAATAAAATGAATGGTAAATATTTAAATTTAGAATCAGTTTTTAGGTGCTTAAGCTTTCAGCACAGCACAGCACATTGTTGCCGCACTGCTTGCCACTCGTAAGGGGTACTCCCACGTTGGAACACCCGACTGCGATACACGGGCTTCTATGTTGTGTTACTCCCCTTTTAGTATTTTATGCCTGTTCGTTTTGCTCTATACTTTATTCCTCTCATCTGCTTTGTGCTCTCCGCCTGCTTTTTTTGCGATGTTTACTAATTAACCGAAACATCATGGGCTTCTTGTAGTTACGCCTTACTTTGCCACTTCCCTTTGTTCCACACACACACACACACACACACTCGCCCGCACATGTCTTTGCGTATTAGTGCGTGAGGCGCACTATGTGTGTGCCTGGCATTGATGAAAGACCCAGACCCAGACCCAGGCCCAGAACTCTGACTCCGACTCCGACTCTGGCTTTGTGTGTATTATTTTGCAATTAAGACTCTGGGCCTCAAAGCAACGCCCACACACTTTTGCTTCTACGAAAAAGGAAATCCCCAAAATGTGTATTGGCTTTAACGCTTTTTGCGTGGCAGATGCATTTGGCGTCAGCATTTTTCACCCATTTTTCCCGGCCACATTACGCATACGCCCCGCGCGCCCCGCCCGCCGTGTGTGTGTCCGCTGTTAATGAGCTGATAATGAATTTATTAAATTTACTACTCGTTTGCATTTTACAGTCCCCGCCCAGGGCCAGTTCATCCCATAGATAAATTAACTCTTCGCATATACCAGTGGTTTTTTTTGTTTACTATTATTTTTGTAATGAGCCAGCGAAATTATTTATTTATTATTTATGCAGAGACGAGCCATGTAAATTGATCACAATGTTGTTGCACATCGGGCCACTCCTGTGCCGCTCCTCCTCCTCCTTTTTTATGGTTAATTTATGCACTTTGTTTAATAACTTTAATGGCGGCCACCAAGGGGGCTGGGGACGAGTGGCTGGGCTGTAATAAATCAGCATTTACATGAACGAACTAGCCGTCACAGTCGCTGCAGGAGAAACAGAAAACAAATTAAAAATTATATAAAAAACAAAACAAAAACCGAAACCTTAAATGCCCTTAGATTTAGCAGATATCAATCGATCATTAATTATTCAGAAGAATTGAATGAAGAGAATCTAGTACTATCGATGCCTTTAGGGACTTGGGGTATCGTATCTATTGTAGATCTCCTCTACCAAATGGTACTCATAGGAGCATCTAAGGCTAGGCCTTTATCTATTTGAAAACTCATTAGGCAGATCATTTGGCATAAACTTTAGCCCTAATACTAAAAAATATACCATAGACAATGATTATTATTGTATTCTATTCAAGTTTTTATATTCGGATTTGGGCTACTTTTTTTTTAGCAAGTTGCTCGTAAATTAATTTGCGGTTCGATGTACATAAATAAAATGAAAACAAAGCGTTAAATAAAACACAAATTAGGTAAATTATGTGGATTTATATTGGCCCTCTGACCATCTGACCCTCTGGCCCCCATTGATTGCCCTCTATTAGGCCACAATACAGTACATACATAAGCATTTAGGGCTAATTAAATTTAAATGCAATTAACTCGAGTGCTTGATTTGATATCCACTAAAACGTTGGACATTTTTTAGAGTTAAATAAATAGAAATAGAAACATGTATCATTTAGCCGAACGTTTTGTTAGGCCAAACATAGAACATTCTAATTATCTGTGTGATGTGCATAGAAATGCGTTTTCTGGTAATTGAGATGTCGATTTAATTAGTTCATTGAACTCTCGGGAACATTTTGTGGTCAAATTTGTTGGTAATAGTTTTAATAGAACTATTAGTAGAACGGGAAAGCCATAGTTTGATGTGTTTGATACGGTTTTTTTTTATTATGAAAAAAGGCCCTAATGATGGATTACACTAGACGATTATTAGATATAATGGCTTTGTACTTTATAGAGGTATTAATGGTTTATTTTTAAGGTATTAAAATGCCTTTAATTCTCCCTAGAATCTATTTTATATTCCCCAAGACTAGACTCAAATAAAATTATATTTTACAGCCCCGATGGATGGTTTTTACATAGAATCTTGGTTGTTTAGGAGTCGGGAAAAATTTAAATAAACAGTAATTAGAAGGGCCCCTGTCCTTGGCCCAAATAAAGTGCCTTTTGAATATACTAGTACTCGGAAAATTGTCTTTAATTTATGTTTTGCTGGCTGAAAATTCTATTGTACTAGTTTGCGTCATTGATTTGCGATTAGTTGTGGCCCTCACTCTCCAGGCCATACAATTGTTGAAGAGCCACGCCCACACCCACGCCCACACCAGCCCCAGCCCCAGCTCCATTGTTTCGCGGCGAGTGCAGACAATGGGGAAATCCTCTTATTCGAGGTACATATCAGCATTTTCTGCAGCATAATAAGCCGGGGAACTGTTCCCTTTGCTTTCCGTTTCATTCCCATGCCATTTCCTACCACGTTTATTATTTATTTATTTAAAAATTGCTGCCTACCCCCCCTCCCCGCCACGACTGTTGCCATGTTCGTTCTGGCCCTCTCTCTCTCGTTCAGTGGCTCTCTTTCTGTGGATTTCTCTTTCTGTGTTGGCCAACCTTTTTAGCCACTTTCGTTTTAATGTAATCAAATGAACGTGCTTCGCATTATACTGTTGCCAATAAATTTCATGAGGCAAATAGATGAGGATTGGATCTGGGCCACCCCCCCCCGGCTGTTGGCTACTACTTTCGGGACTCGCCGCCTCCCAGCGGGGCCCTGCCCCCCCTCCCCCCACTCCAGTCACCCGTCCCCCGACACTCACGACTCCCTCTAACAATAGCAATGAGCTAACGCCACCTCGGTGGCTTCGATTCGGCGGTTCTTGTTCTGGTTGTTGCCAAGGCAGCGCCTTTTTCTTTTGGGCAACGTGTAAAATTGAAAAATTCACCCCATAGGGAAAAACAAGCGACAAAGAAGCCGAATATTGAGACACTCTGGCAGAGGGATATTAAATTGGGTTTGGGAACGATCTGTAGAGTCATATTTAATAGAAGTTTGTGAAGCCTAGGATCTAGGATAATCAAGGGCCAAAATGTTTTATGAGGCACCCAAAAGCTGTCTCTCTTCACCTATCATTTGTCTATTCGTCAAAGCCTTCTGCAGCTGAGTTGGTCCCAACAAATCAACAACAATACACGCACTCTTTGGCAAAGGGCAGGTTTTATTGATAAAATTTAAATATAACTTTGTTTATTCTTTCAACTTTATAAAAATAGGGAACTGTTCCATTTACAAAATTCCAGCCATAAAAGTAATGCCCACTGCAAAGGGAATAAAAACCGCAGAGTCCTTGAGGAAAATAGGGACTGGTGGGGGTGTGGGGTGGTGTGGGGGCTAGCCTCTCATATAATTGAAAGGGACAACACGTCGAGTCGAGGCTATTAGGTTCAGGGCTGCCTGGCTGCTCCCGCTGTTGCTCTGCTATCATTGCTCTTGAGACTCCCGCGAGCAGCAGCAGCAGCTAATGGATTTCATTTCGCCCAGCCACCCAATCCGCACAGCCACATAGATACACAGATATATAGATGTATGTATGTATGTATATTTTGTAATATTTATGTATTTATTTTCACTTACAGTCCAAAGTACTTGAAAAGCAGAGTAAACAATGCAGAACAACATTTCACTTCACATATCCCGAAAAGCGGTTCAACGGCTTCCCCCCACCCCGCTGCAGCGGGGGCCGTCCCCTCTCTCACCTATTCGAAAACTGAAGATGGAAGTGGCACTGGAACTGGACAGGGCACGGCCGTGGAGTATGCAAAATAGCTGTGAGTAAAATATTTCTATTATTTATTTACTCACACTCTCTATTTGCATTCGTCTGTCCCAGCACATAAGGCAGCGGGTGGGTGGGGAGGGGTGGGGTGGGCACGGGCACAATGGAGCGTGCGGAATGTGTTTAGAGAGAGTTTTCCTTTTTCATTCCTTTTTTTTCTCGTGTTTTTCAGTGATTTTTGTTGTTGCTGTTCAGTGTTGTATATTTTTCATATTTTACACTTGGAGTCCACAAGAGTCCAGAGACAGGATCAAGCTGTGTCCCTTCTGCGACCCACTCAATGCGCTGTAACCAGTTTGATGAAGCATATAGAACTTTAGAGGTCTCAAATAGCTTGGATATAGCACAAAAAAAAAGAAGAGCATTCTGCTTTCATTTGTAGCTTTAAATAAATCCTAAGAAAATCCTTGCAAAATCTAAATTTGAAACGCAACAAAGTGTGCCACAGAAACTCAAATGCCACACACAAAAGAGGAAGCCAACGAGGAGGCAACATTGTAGCGCAGCCTCCCATTTTTGTGTTTAGAACTCTCAATTGAATCTTGATGCACGTGCCCTGGCACAGAGCCCAAATATAATTCTGAAGCGGACATTGCGATGGCATCGCCAACCAAGGCATCCCCAGTCCCAAAGGGTGTGCTGGGGCACTCCACTCCACACCACACCACACAACAATCACACCCTCTCCATGCTACGCATCTCAATTTATTGGGCGGAACCAGAGACCAGGGGGGGAGTAGCAGTAGCCCAATGGGTTTTTCTTGTTCTTGTATCATTCATAATAATTTTTATTATGGGTCATCGGCCATTTGTTTGACGCTATCCACACGCCCTCACCCCCGCCCTCGCCCCCTCACATTCCGTAGATGCAAAGTGAGAGCAGAGCCTAGGGGTTTGGGCCCATTTCGTTCAGTCCATCTATTAGACCAAATGTATCCTGCTCCGGCTACGGCTCCAGCTCCGGTCCCCAATCTTGATCCTTTTTTCAGCCTGTCCGTTTCTGGCCCTCCCTGCTCCTCGATACTCGTCCTTATTATTATATTCTTTATTTTGCATATTTTCGTATTATTTGTTTTATTTATGGTTCCATGACTCTGATAAATGGCCGCAACTTCATCCTTCGCTCTGCCCACCTATCAACGTGTTGATGTGATTTCTTTTTCCCCCCAAATACCCATTGAAGTTAGCCAAGTGTATTGGACCCTGCGGAAAGTTACGGAAAGAATTTGCAAAGCTATTGCCCGCCATTTCCTCTGGCAATTATTCTGTGTGTTCACTTTCTTTTATTGTTGTCTAAATTATACAATTTTGACTTTCTTACTGTAGCTCTTCTGTTCGTTTTCCTTTAGATAATTCTCTATCTACCAAGTATCTACTAGTCGTCCCTCTTGCAACGCGCATTCTCTTCACATTTTATCCATTTTTTCCAACAAATAATTTAAATTTCTTATGCAGGCTCTCGTTCAGTGGGGCACGCCATGGGCTGTGGGATGAGAGATATGTGGGTATGCAGCAAATTGATAGATGTCCTGTCCGTTCGAGGACCCAAAAGTGGCAGCTGCTCGTTGTCTACACAAGAATTATGATGCCTAATAACAGGTCTAAGTGGTTCCGCCCGGCACTTCGTGGGTGTTTCATCAAAAATCATATTCGGACAGCTGCTAACCAAAAAATGCAATTGATTCAACAGTCTGCAAAGGGGAATGGGAATGGGTAATGGGTAATGGGACTGGACTGCTTGGGTAGTACGTATACGGAATGATAAATCTATGGAAGGTTGGAGCTTTCGAATATGGAATGATGATTTATCGCGTTCGAGTTTTTGACTATTCACATTTTTGGCGTAGATTAGTTTTGGTAAAACACAATTAAATTGAGCTTGATGCTACATCAGCCTGTGGCTCTATTTGATGCTGATTGTTCTGTGTGCATGGGATGTCATGGAATGGGATGCGATGAGATCTGACCCTGGCCCCATCCCTCAATCCTTGCCGTGGCGGTGCTCGCTCCCCCTTCCATGCCTCATCACGCTCGGCTACGTTTTCATTTTGGTTCAGTGTGCAGCGAAAAAGTTTTCCCTATGACAAAGTTTGTACGAGTATCTGTGGCTGCTCGTGCTCCACGTCCTCGTCGTACATAGCCGGCAATCCCCAGCCCAATCCCTCGCTCGTTGGGAGTGTTTTATTTAATTTCCAGCACGCGGCCATTCGCAATTGCAATTCAAATTCGCATTGCAGAGGAATGTTCTCTGGGTTGACTCCCTTGCTGGCCAGCAAAGCCATTTGGCGGATCTGGAATTGAATAACTGTCTTTAAAATACTCCCAGTTTTTGCCTAACTATAGACTACACCACTTCATCGATTGATTGAGTTGAGGCCAGGAAGTCGCAGAATTAGAGGCTTGCAAATTACATATACTTATGCGAGTGTGTAGTTTAATGTATCTGATAGATTTATTATCTAAAACTAAGCCCATGGAGGAGTCAAATCGGAGCCGCAAAACATGCCGTTCATCGTAAGGGTGCCACTGCAACGGCGAGCGTGGAGCAAATGCAGGACGCAAGGTAGTGCATGGAATCGTGGCCCAGCGAGAGCAGTAATCAGTCCGAGCTGATGAGCTCTAAGCCGACGGGAAAACGACGTTTTCCCGTTCATCCCGGTTCATCCGTTCGGACTGATCAGCAGCCTTGCTAAGCGCTGCTTCCTTGGACCCTGCATCCTGCACCTCCTCCTCGATCGACATCGCAGCGCCACACTTATGATGAACGCTGTTTTGGGGATCCGTTCAAACCCATCCAGCGCCCAATGGATGATGGATAAGTTCAGCTGCGAAGTCATCCTTTAGCTAAGTACTCTTCAATGATCGTCTTTTTCTCAGCCAGCTCAAAGATTTGTCTGCTGGCCGAAAGTTCGGAAAGGCCGATGGCTCTAAAGGCGATCGGGGCTCTGTCAAAGCATGCTGGTGGCTGGTAAAGGGACGATTCCCAAAGACGCCAAGCAGAGCCTCGTAGACATCGCCAAGATAATTGGTTTTTCCGGGATCCCACGTCTTGATCCCACGTCGCATAGGTGTATCGTAAGTCCCATCTATAGCATGTCTGCAAAGATGGGATATTGCCTGGGTTTTGAACTCTTTCACTGCTCACACAAAACCTCTTTCAGCATCACTCACATGTTCAGCACAGCGCATGTGGAACTCCAGATCTTTCGTCTCCTTTATTTGAAGATTGTAAATCAGAGTACGACCTGGAGAGCAGAAAGCATTGTTCAGAGCAATTGCCGGTGGATAGGAAAAATATTACTTACCGTCAGCGTCACTTCCTCGCCTTCTCCGCCGTGTAGCACGAGGCCCATGAGTTGGGGGGGAGATGGAGAGGAGTGTGGGACTGGGAGCCTCCTTGGCGTTGCTAATTGTGGCCCTGAGGACGCTGTTGATCGCCGTCCTGTCCTCGCTCGCAGGCGGCGCACAAGGTCGGCCCCCGGCCATGCCTGCTGCCACCGCCGGCATGGCCAAGTGCGACCAGTTGATGAAGGATCACGAGCACGAAGTCAGTCCGTAGAATCACCAGCTTCTGTAGATTCGCGAGTGGAAGAAAGACACAAATTAAAAAAATACCCGCAATCGACCGCGATCTATCAAGAATTAACGTGCATAAACTATTTGGCTATAAACTACTATAAACTATCCGTGCAGCACGGAAACAATCGAGTAGCCTTTGAATAAAATGTCAAAATTTGCCAACTTGTTTCTGCTAAATTCGGCCGAGTATGATATACGAGTACCAGCCTCGAAGAGGTTGGCATTGGAAACTTTTCATCTAGGGGTACTTGAATCGCGATTTTTGGAGCACAGGCCCGTACCGAGTTCCTTGCAGATGTCCCCCAAAAGCCACAGAACAATCCTTCACTTGCCTTTCACTCGATGCAGGGGCTGGGGCTTTCCGACCTCCCGACTTCCTGCTTGGGCGTTTGCTCTTTGTTCTGATCGGAATAAAGTTATTTTCGTTTTTATGCTATTAATTTTGCATTTCACTTTTCAACTTTTTTCTTGTCACATTTCACATTCTAAATTTTGCTTTGTTTTAGATCTAATCCCGACGACTGAATCGATTCGAATGACTGAAATATTTATTTCCCTTTGGCTAATGCTTTTACTTTTACTGAGAACAAGTTTGACGTAAAACACTGTGCTGTGTGATCGATTCTAGGAATCTTGTAGTCGAGTCTGTGGGTAAGTGATTCATTTTCATCACGTGTGCAGGTTTTTATTGCTCAAATGCCAGGTATTCGAAGCGTCTAGGGATACGTGGGCATGGACTGTGTGGGTGGGTTCTGTTCCCCCCGATGTCCATCGATTGTTATTTTTACTGTTTCTCACCGCCGAAGCTTGGATTCCTTGTGGTCCCCCCCGAGGCACTGGAAGCCTCTTTGTAGTCGGTAAATTCATATTCCATTGTGGCGACGGCAGTTGCTTGGTGTCTCAACATTTGGCTCTGAAGCTGGTGCCATTGGCCCTCAAAGCTGAGCTTTCATAGATTCAAGCGCAAAAGGTTCTAGAGAGCACGGCTCGCCGTACTCCCGATAGATGGGCTTTCATGGCTGAAAGCTTCATCCGATCTATGCGGCGCAGAGCAGACTGCAGAGCCAAATATTGAGACACCAATACCAGACACCAGCTACAGAGGCAAGTCTTGTAGCGGATATTGAGACACCCACTGAAAAGTGGCTTCCAGTCCGAATGCATTGAAGAGCAGTCCTTGGGTCCTTACCTGAACAAGTGCTGATTCCTCCCGTTCCTGGTGTGTATTCTTGTGTGCTTCTAATTACGAGAGGTTAGGGCCGACTTCCGTTCCGACAGAACACCAAAATTTCCATCCGACTACTTTTTAGCTGCCATCGGAACGATATGTCGAAAACAAACTGCTTGGACTATAAAATAAGACAATCATCCGAATATTCTAGCATTTATCTTCAAAGAACTCTGGCAGAAGTTATTTTTGTGAACTCGTTGAAAAGTGAAGAGAGGTGCAACTTAAGCGCACAAATATCGCCATATCGATACCAAAAATAATATCAACAACAAATATATATCGACATAGCACGCTTATTATCCATTTGGTCACTCTACGAACAATTTGGTAATTTTTTTGCATTGTAATTTGCTAAAAAAAAAAAACAAAGCTAACAACTGGAAATGTCGAGAATATCGAAGAAATGTAGTATCTTTCTGGCAGAGCCCATGGGCGAAAAGTCTGTCACAGAGTTGTCTGGAATTGGACCGACGCTGGGCGAACGCTTGACCGAAGCTGGATTCGACAAGGTGCGTTGTGTTCGCCATGTGCGGCAGTATACAAATATTTCCAAGGTATCAGCAAACAAATAACTATTATGTAAATACCCCCAGGCATACCACGTGCTCGGCCAATTCTTGATCTTGAAGAAAGACGAGGTGCTGTTCATTCACTGGATGAGGGAATTGTGCAGCGCCAGCTCTAAGCAAGCTTCCGACTGCTACGATTGCCTCAACGATTGGTGCGAGGAGTTCTTGTAAGGGACTTCTTAGACTTTGGCATCAGTCGGCTCAGACTGGAAAGAAACCGACATCTCATTAGCAAATAAGAACTAGTCATAGTCCATAAATAGCAATGAACAAATACATGTACATACTTACAAAGGGGCCTTGAGTGGCTTGCGGCAGCCTGAAAGAAAAAAAATTCAGTTCTCAAGAGTACAAATCGAGAAGATTCCAAAATATATTTAATATGTGTATATCATTTAATTTAATTGTTCATTCGGAATAAAGAATTTATATTCTGTACATATCACTCCACGGTTAATTTCCACCAACCCATTCCATCTCGTGGAAGTTGTTGAAGTCAAGGTCAAGGTCTTGTCAGCTGCATCTCTTTCTTTCCCTCGAATCGGACCATGGAACAGAGCAGCGCTCTATCTCCGTCTCTTTCTTTCAACTGGCCATGAAAGTCTGGCAAAAAATAACCTTAAAACCAGCTCTAAAAGTTTCACAGCATCCAGCTTTACAAAGCTCTACAATTACCCTAGCCACCAGCTCTAATAGTTGCATAGCTGCCAGCTCGAGTAGTTTCATAGCAGCCAGCACAACTAGTAGCTTTAATTTAATATCCGAAGCATTTTCTGCTGCTGTTGCGAATCTAATACATATATTTATGCAAAATAATGTGTGTTCTATTAACCGCTTGTCTAACATTTCACGACGCCAATTTGCATTTGTCTAGTTTGACGACAAGCACCAATTAAACTCGACTGAGCCTCCGGCAAGATTCAGCAAGAAAGTTGTCAGCACTTTGAAGTGCCCCACTCTTGATCTATGTTACACGGTACTCGTGGAGCGCAAGGGTACCTTGCCTGTCTGCCTGCCTGGATTCATATTTGGTGTAAAAGCCGTTTTAATATACTATGTGCACAATAACAGAATACTTTTTTGGAATACTGATAAACAAAGACTATTGTTATTATTATCCTTGCCTTCTTTAAGATGAGCTGGTATGATTTCAATATCAGTGGGGGGTATCTTAAGGTCGTAATACTGCTCGACTGCTCATATTGTTCTTGTCTACTTAGTTTCTCTGTCAGCTTCCAGCTCTGTGTGCAGTTCCAATGTCCCATGAATGTCCGCAGTCAACCCACAAGTCCCTCGCTCTTTCTAAAACTCCCTTTAAAAACCCTCTATCCATCTATATGTGTGGGTTGGTGTTGGTTATTATGCCTCGCGTCTGTTTGCTCTTGTTGCTCTTTAATTTATGCCATCCAGGATCCAGAATCCAGAATCCAGGAGCAGCACAAACAGTTACTGCGGATGGTCTCTGCTCTTTTCATTCCTCTCTCTCTCTCTCTCTCAACCCCTCTCCTGCATCTGTTTGGTGAAGCAAAACCTATTTTCTTTGCAGTTGATTGCATTTTATAGCATTGCAACCTGTCAGGCTAACAGCTTCAAATTCTCAACTCCTTTTCCAGGGCAAAATGCACGAGCTACTCTTCTGCATCCCCTCAACACTCGCGTCCTACAGCTCCCTCTGTCCCTATGAATTTTTCAGGACATTTCGCGTGCCGCGTTCGTTTTAGGCGAAAGAGAGGGGGAGAGAGAGCTCTGTGCCAGCAAAAGAATAAAAACAATAGTCAAATGCCTCGATATTGCGATACCTGGTACTCCGTAGATCTCTGCAGATATGACAAAAGTATGAAAAGCCTGAAACCAGGTGTTCAAAGAAACGTTCAGGGCTTTCAGTTCATGGAGCAAAGCGCATTGTTTGCTTGATTCCAATATACCCCCCTATGCTCTATGAGTAGCGGGGTATAATAAAAATTTATTTAGTAGAAAGCCTTCAGTTTCGGTGCTTTGACTCGCTCCGTGCCTTTTGTGTATTTGTTTACCTGCTCTTTGGTTGGCTTCCAATTTATTGACGCAAATCATCCGACAATAAGCATGGAAATGTTCTGCCTTTGGCCATATTTCGGACGCCTTCCCCCGTTTAAGGCCCCGTGGCCATTTTCTCTGACACCAATTTCTATTTGTTTGCACTTCCTCTACGCTCTCTACACTCTCCTCCCTCCCCCACGCCCACACCGCCACCCACTGACTCTGTTTGTGTGCCAAGTGCCGTTATGCGATTCAAGTTGCGTTTAATAGTTAATGCAAAGCTTTTAAGCACCCAACAAAAGTTCAGCAGCAACAGCAATTGCAACTGCAACAAGAATGACGACAACAGCAGCGGGACTAAACGTCGCAAATAAAATAAAGAAAAGGAAAAGAAAATAAAAAGAAAACTCTGGGAAAGCGCGGGTGAAAGAAATGCAAAAGTTAGAGTGAGGATACTCACTCGCATCTGATACCCTGTACCGCAGGGAAGGTCTGTTCAGTGCTGGAGCAACAGCAGGTTTCCGCCTGCTAACATGATAACGTTCTGTTAACGCTGGGCGCAACGGGTCGCTGTTAACGCTCGGTGTAACGGATCACTGTTAACGTTCGGTGTAACGGGTAGCTGTTAACGCTCGGTGTAACGGATCACTGTTAACGCTCAGTGTAATCGCTCGCTGGTGCGACTCTTGGAAGAGTGGTCTCTTCCCGGCTCTCCACACGGCTCTCATAGCGTTTATCTTGTAAGTTACAAGAAGAACAACCGACTTTTCATTCTTCGTCTACTAATCGTTGGATGTAGAAATCATCTGCTATAGATACGGCAAATGATAAGACAAAGATACATCTTTAAACCTATATTTAAGCTCCTAAAACCCATTGTTGATTCTCTTTTAAGCCTTCGCTCATTCCGTTTCTTACACCTTTTGTTATTTATTGTCACCTCTTGACAGTACCCTACCTTACCCCAGCCCAAAATACCCTTTCTACCACCTTCTCACCGCTCAACATTTTCTAACTGTTGAATTAAATTTTTAGTATTTTTCTAGAGAATGAGAATGGGAAATACTTTGCCCTGCAACACGGCGAAACAAGTGCCGCATGTAATTACATTAGCTTTTATTTCTATTATGCGCTCATAACATATTTTTTATTAATGCAGTATTCCATTAAAGGAATTAATGGCATAAAAAAGAACGAACGACTGCAGAGAGGAGCAGACGAGGTGGAGCGGAGACGAACCGGTCGGGCGGGTAATTAAAAATGATCGGAGAGTTGAGCCAACGTAATGATGTGCTTAGTGCAGGTCGAGAGCTGCACGGTGCACGGTGCACGGTGCTCGGTGCTCGGTGCTCGGTGCTCGGTGCACGGTCCTCGGTACCCGGTACTCAATGTCCAGGCTCCGAGTGTCCAGTACGCAGTACGTAACACTTTTTGCCCGTTGGCTGGAAGCGATGACCCAACAAGTTGTTGAGTGCTCAAGGACCTGTGCCAATATCTAGGTCAACGAGTTGGAACACACTCCAAGAGTGCGTATGAGGAGAGAGACACGGACATAGAGCTTGTAGTAAAGATAGGCACACACATACTAGTATATATATATTTACATATATGGTAAGTAATTATGTGAAAGTACGGATTTTGTTGAGGGTAAACATGTTTGGTATTTCTAGGCATGGGAATTTAAGGTATTTTCATTAGAATTGCATAATTTATGGCTCATAATGTTCTGTTTTGTTTTGCCAAAGCTTAATTATAATTTCCACCAACGATTCACCAAAAATTCTTGTGATTATCCAGAACATATGTTGGTCAGAATTAATTATTTCTGGGTGCAATAACACAGCATATATACGAGTATAAACATTTCGTGGTATGCTGTCTGGCCATCATTCTCCTCTAAAAATCAAATACGTAAACCGATTTATCCCTTGAAAGGGTGAAATCTCTTCAATCTCAAAATGCAACCAAAATAAAAATTGATTTATCATAGAAATTTTATTTTCATATATTTTTTATAACACACACACACACACAATATTAAAATGAAAAAAAAAGAGAGGTGATCCCTTCAAGTCGCAAACAAAAACCAACGCGTGAAATGCACAAAAGAATATTTTAGCATTTCAAATCCTCAACTGCAACGGACCAACTAAAATTACAGTCAAAAAATGCAATTTCTTTTTATATGCCCTTCCCTGCATTGATGGCCAAAGATTTTTGATGAACTTGCCAAAGTTTTTTTTTTAAAAAAACGTACAAACAGCAAAAGGGAATCGCTCTGAGTGTCGTCCGTTAGCCGGCTAATATTTTATTCATTTCATTTTGAAAGAAAGCAAAGAATGTGTGTGTGAAAATATGATTGAATAGAATTGAATGGAATTGTTCAGTTTTTAGTTATTGTATGCGATCGGCCAAGTGCGAAAATGGTTTTCGCTTGACTTTCGAGTTTTATTGCAATTTTCGTTATGAAACCCCAGAGTCAGAAAGAAAGAGATATGAAAACTTTCAGACTTTTTCTTTTGCTTGAATTTTTGGAGAGACAATAATGAAAGTAAAACAGGCGAAATAAGAAATGACTATGTAGTAAAGTAACAAGCTATATATTTTACCAATATACTCGTATTTACCATGGAATAATTGCACTTTTGTAAGAATATATATGAATTTTGGAACTTATCCTAGCTGAAAATTGTTTAAAACATAAATAGTACGTGGAAAAGAAATGAAAAAATGGAAACAAATTCTATAAGGGGCAAAATACACATACATACATATATGTAAATACTAGTTGACCCGCCAAACCAAATTGTTCTTTCAGAACTATTTCTTTTGCTCCAAACGATGTCATTTAGAAGCAGGAATCGAATGTGCGGATGGACTTCAGGAACATGTTGAAGTCTGGATCCGTGCCGATAAGCAAGCCAACCAATGGTTCTGGTGGTTCCTGATGAGTCACACCAGCGCCAGAAACTCATTGTTCATAGCACCAATCAGTACTTTCGGTTGAGCGGAATATTCACTATTTGGCTCGTACTCGAATGCGAGACGTAGGAACGAAACGCATGGCGTTCTCTGTGAGAAACCGGCCTTATGCCTCTTGTAATTGAGATTCACCAAATTGCAACATACTCACACGCAAAATTTTCGTTATTTTGTTGGATTCGTTCGTCTGTGCTTTCTCCTCTACTCCTCGACTATTCATCTGCTAAATTGTATATCTAATTGGAACCTTGTATAGGTATCACCGATGGCTTACCCTTGACTCTATCCTTCATATTTTTCAGCTTATCAGAACTGTTAATTCGGCAACGCGCACGTCAGAGAACACCCCCTAGAAAAACGTCAAAGGTCTTGAGCTTCTGTAGCTGGCAGCTTGCAACTTGGCCTGTGGCAAGATGCCTGTCAGAAGTTTTTAGGCATGGCATGGCATCAATGCTATCGTCATTTGGCTTTGACTGCGCACATGATTATTACACACGCTCACACAGATACACCCACACAGCCAAGAGCACCAACAGATCCACCTATAGACTCCCGCACACCCACTGACAGACAGTTATACAGACAGACGCATGGAGGGAAACTTTGAACCGAAAAACTTGCCGCAAAAACTTTTTAAGTAAACGCGCAGCCAAAAAAGCCAGAGGCCGCAGAAGGCGCGGGAAGGGGAGCAAAGGGTAAGCAAAAAATTAAACTAAAAACCAAACTTTAACTTAATGAAAATGCAATATTTGCAGGCGCGCGGCGGGCAAAACTTTTCCCCCACAGCCTGCCTCAAATTTATGCATCAACGTAGGCCAACTCAAGGAAATCAAAAACCTAGGCCAGATTTAAATCATTCATTCACCGATTCAGTCATTCCCAAAACGAAATCAGTGTGATATAGTGAGTAGAATATATTTTCGAAATTATTTTTTAACAATGGCAAACGCACGCCAAGGCGCCAAGCCCCGTAAGCCCCGTAGCTCAGTGGCTGCACGCCGCGTAAAGAAACCCAACCCAGTACGTCTTCGTAGTCTGGGGGATCTGAAAGAGTCGGAGATGATTAAAGTGGAGTCCGCTCTACATGCAGCAGCCAATTTAGCATCGAAGGAGGCAAAGTTGAAGGAGAACTTGAACTTGATATCACCCGACGAAGACTTCCTGCCAGACGATATAGAGTCGGTACAATCGGAGAGCGAAGACAAAATCCAAAATCGTGTGGACATCGCCACGAAGCTGCTGGGTTTCGTCGAGAGCGAGGACACAACACCTCGTTCTCTCTCAGAGTTTCTTGCCCGATGCGGTACCAAGGGAATTGACCAGGAAAAAACTGATGATGACAACATATGTCAATTCTGTGGACTTTCCAAAAAGTAGAAGAACTCTTGCTGTACAAACCCCAAGAATTTGTTCAATTTATTGTGGTATATATTTATAAATGTCAATTGTTTGAATTGTATCCTTGATAACAATAATTTCCTTGGTTTTCAGGCGGTGCTGAAGCTTTGCGTGATTAATTAATTGTTCAGAATAGAAGTAAAATATACTAAGGTTCACTTTTAACGGCGATACATATGGTAGTTTTATTTTTGTATTATTATTCGTGTGTTCTCAACCTTGGATTACTCCTTCTACAACTCATAAATCCGCCCTCCTACAAGCATTTTTCTTTGACAGTTGATAAATGACTCCATTATCAAGTGGCCAATGCGACACCAAGCCGAAGCTTGTCACGCGCGAATCCCAGAAACCGACCGAGAAGCGCTGCAGCATGACGCGCCACGAGGATACTAAACTAAACTTACTAAAATTACAAATACTTATACTAATTACGGGAAAGTTATGCTTGTATTAGTAATTTAAGAAAAGGAAGGAAATAATTAGTAGGAAAGGAATAAGTGGATCTCCAAAGCGAAGGGGACAGTGGTATATAGTTATTGTTGGACCACAAAGGAATCATTAAACAAAATCATATCTAGAATTTTTCCACGACTAACAAAGGATGAAATGTTTTTGAATCTTTCTCTCCAGTCTTCCACCTCAATGCCACATTAATTCGTTGCACGAGTACTCCTACGCCATCTTCGAGTGCAAGTCCCCCATCATTTTAGGCACCCCAAACACACACACTTTTATGCCAGACTTTTGCACACTCCACACTCACACAGACACAGACGCACCCTCAGATTTTTTTATGCGTCTCGTAGTAACCCATTTTTTTTATCCAAGTGTTGCAGGGATATATGTTTCTGGATGCCGACAAAAACGGGGTGCAGAGATAATCCAAATCTCATTACGCCAAGTCGTACTTAAGATTAAAAATAATTATTTCAATTTCTGTGCCGCGCCATCGTCACGTAGTCCTACCTGGCCGAAGGGCGGAAGCGGGGGATGGAGATCGGGGCTTCGGCTGGGCGGCTGGCAGAGGAAAAAAGTGAAAATTCAATTAGAATGCGGCAACTCCATGTGAACAGGCAACCAGGCGAGTCTAACTGTCTGGCTGTGGCTCTGGCCACGGTCGGCTCCGACTCCGGCTCCGGCTGTGGCTCTGGCTCCAGCCTGTCTGTGCTCCCAAAATGCAATGCCGGCAGTGTTATATAGCAGGTGGAAAACGGCAAAGACATGGGCGTACACGGCACGTTTTCCACCGTCCTTTTTGCCGAAATGTGTCTCTTACTGATGCAAATATTATCCAAAATATGTATGAAAATGCGAATATTTAAGTATCAATATCATGTGAATGTATCATTGGAAAACGTATCGTGTAAGAGGAGGATTGGAGGAAGTGGAATGCTCCCACGGCAGCCGCCATCGCGTAATCCTTTTGCCAGCCTGCGAGCAACCACAATAATTTGATTTTACTTTGCTTTAACTTCATGAAAAAGTTTCAAGTTTTTTCACACACACACACACACACACACACACACACCTTACACCTCTCCTATCCCATCCTGTGTGTTGACTGCTTCTGATAAAGTTTTTAATTTTGCAGCTGAAACTCATTTAGAGGAACGAAAGTGCGAAGCCACAGAACCTGCAACAGCAGCAGCATCAGCAGCGGCAGCATCCGAGGATGATACGTGTTTTAGGAGCGTCTGCTGCATATTTAATGGAGCTCCTAGCCTCAAAGGCTGCCGGAGGAACAACTTAAAGAGGAAGAGATCTATGGAGCTTGTTATACATACATGAAAGTGTATATAGATACCAGTGTATATATAAATATCCATTTCGCTTGGCATTACATGGCCTACGGCATAATGAAACCCGAAAAATCAACTTGGCTGTAACTTTGGCCAAACAGAGAGAGATTCTGGCAAGAAATTGTTATACGAACTGGAAAAATACACAATCTACAAAAATTCATCTTCATTATGGTGGACGACGCGCGGCTCGGCGGAGGAGGAAATGCATTCAAATGAGGCCTTGCCATGGATAGCCCTTAGGGATCAAGGAGAGGGTGGTGGTGGTGGTGGTGGTGGTCGGGGCCAAATTAAATTAAAATTTTCATACATTTTTGGTTAGAATAACATTTAAGGATTGCTGGAGGATTTTTAGCGTGGGAGGGTGGGGCATAAAATTAATATATTCCTTCACTCTTTTTCCATATCAAACCATTATTTTTATTCATTCTTATGAAAATAGTACTCATTATGTAAATAAATTCGTCCCCTATATGGTTCCATCAAACAAGCTCTGAAAATAGCCAAAATTGGTAATTGAATGACTCGTTTTGTGTCCATAATTTCCATAATTTCACTCGAAGATTTTCGAGTGGTTTAAATCAATTTCTTCCCGCACTGGGTCTGAGAAAGCAACTAGTAAAATCGAAGTCGAACACTCAAAAACTCAAAAAGTCATTCACGAAAAATTCTGTCGCACTGATTGAGTTTTCGGTTTGGCTTTTTGATTGCATCAGGTGCCCAGTCGGGGTCCGTGTCCATTCCCTATCCAAGTACTGTGGCTCGTCCTTCTGGCAGAACAGGACCGAAAGAAATCGCTTTGGAGAACACAAAAGCCAATTCGGATTCGCAGCACAGCGCAGCAGCGTTCGCTCCAGGAATGGTAACGGACAAAAATATTTTCTGAGTGAAAAACAATGCAATTCAATCTTTCGTTTTTTTTTTGTTGGCAAACAAAAAGCACAGCCCCAAGTCCCTTTGGCTGGCAAACACGCCATCACATACCTTCATCATCCCGTTGCCATTTTCTCTCAGAAAGCAATTCTATTTGATGGGGTAAAAGTGTTTGAATTTGAATTTGAATTAATAGGATTAGAATGAAATGACTTTCAATGGGGGTAAATAAATTAAAGTGCTTTTTACCATCAAATTGAATGCAAATGTTGGTTCTGTTTCGCTTGCACAAAGGGACTACAGGGACACGCAGGCGCCCATACCCGCATACCTAGTGGAGAGCTGGCAGAGAGTTGATATAGGAACAATCAGATTAGTTGGTTAAAAAATATATCCGCATACAGCAGAGACAGCAGCAGTAGCAGTAGCAGCAGCAAAGGCATTTTAATTATCGCTATTCCCCAGGGCGCAGTTGAACTAATTGCCCTGCCCTGAGGGGGTTCCTGGGATGGGCTGGGATGGAACTATGGCCCTGCCAAGAAACCCACCGTACGCACTTTTGGCCTTATCAGTGGCCTCAAAATGGCACAAAAACTGTTTGGCTCGAAGGGCGGATAGGCAGGCCTCTATACGAGTATACTCGTTTGGTAGCACAAAAAATAATAAAACAAACCGCAACGAAAGAGGCCATAGAAGAAGTACAACGCGCGTGTCGTGCTGGCCTGAGGAAAAAATTAGGCATTCCGTGCGAAATGTAGATACGAGATAATCATTTTAATAAATTTCACAGTGACAAATGGCTCTCCCTATACTCGTAACTCCCGTTTTTGTCCTGTGTCCCCAGTCCTGGCTGTAGGCGTGAATTAGTAATAAGTGATGGCTGCGCGGTGTCTTGACTAATTGATGAGTGAGACTTCTGACTAACTTACTGTTACTGTGGCTCAGGGCAATAATTTGTTCTTTGTTTCCCATTCGTTATACAATAGGGGTACTCGTGAGACAGATTAGAAATGATCAAAGATCGGGCACTTCAAGTGAGATTTCTGGGATTATTCCTACATATATTCCCAAACTTCAATATAAGGTTGTGTGTTTTGTGATTGCCATAAAGGCTTACTATTATAGCCTGGTCGTTCAATTAAATAGTTCTTATTTCCCACACAGCTCGACAGCTGCTCTACGGCGTACTGCAGGATGTCTCGGGTGTTTTTAATTTTCGCTTGAACAATTTTCATTCCGCTTCCGGCACAGCCCCATCCAGTCAATTGTTTGCTTGGCGCATTATGCAAATTATGAAACTACAAGAGAAAACTTTAAGCTATTTTTTTTGGCCATATTTTGTTGAGTCACAGCTGTTGACATTTTGTTTGCCAATTTTTCTTGAGCAGGCTCAGGCGGCAATGGGTGACAGATGAACGGGCGGGTTGGGAGACAGAGGACTGGAAGAGCTGCCGAAAAACAAAAATTTGTACTTAAAGGGAAAGAATATATGTACATATATAGATAGAAATCCGAAATAAAATATCGAAATCATTTTGATATCCATATAGAATTTCTAACAAACAAACATTCCCATCGTTTGGGTAGTTATTAACAAATATTAACAAATACACTTTCCCAGCTATTATAATATATTCCAAAAAATGTATACATGTCCTAGATAACTCTCCCAACGAGTCATGAACAGTTTGAACCGAAGCAGGTCTTTTGAATTTCTGCCACAAATAAAAGCACCAGAAAAATGGAAACTCGGGGATCTTAGTAGGCCTGCTTTCACCGTTATTTTAGCTCAGTTTTGTGTAGGTTGTGTAGGCAGTCAGTTCTCATAAGTGTTTATCAGTTCAACCCGTTCACATCTATTGTTAACGACAAAATTTATTTTAGTTATCAACAAAATTCCCAAACCAAACCCTTCGGGATGCCTTTTAAGTGCATAATCGAGTGCGTCCATAAGATAGCACACAACCTAATCGTAGCCCGTCCTGCGGTGACGATTACACGCGGAGTAAGTTTCGATGTGCGGTCTGATTCGATCGAATCTTCATGATCTGATCTGTTTTGCAGGGCTGCCGTGTTCCCGCCAAGGATGGCACCATAACCAATATAATCTTCTTCACGGCAATCTTCTGGCCTCTGTACGTGTGCCTCTTGAAGGATGTCATCATCCTGCTGAAGGACATGGTCAAGAAGATCACGCGCGGATAGTTGAAGCGACGTTTATAGAGTGATCATAGCTCATAAGTCAAACACAAGTCCACATAACACATTCGAAAACACGGCTCGTTCTATCGACCAACTACCACTCAACATGTTTCGTGCTCATGCTCGTGCACCACCGCCTGGTCCAGTTAGGAATTTCAGCATCTCAGTTTTCTCCACATTTTCGGGGCGTTGCTGTGGAATTCCTCTGGCTTCCAAAAAACGAGCTATTATACTATACTGACAAAATATTCGTACAAATGTAAACCAAAACACCATATTTTCAAATAAACTGCTGGCATCGTCTGAGTTGTGGTTTTAATCTGGTACTCCTCTTGCCTACGATTGTCTTGTAGAACGTCCTGGCATTCGAGGACAGAAAAGGCAATATTTGTAATTCCCCATTGACACATTGACCCAGTGACTAGTTACTCTGACTACTAGCTGTCAACTTAGTTGAATCTATATCACAAAGGTTTGTGCAAACGAAATAAATACAATTACTAGTCTCAAAAGAAAACAAGCCTTTCCAGCACTGTATAAAACCACTCCCATCTGAACAGTATTGCGAATTGGCCGTTGATGTAGTCTTTGCCAAGCCGCAGTCCTTGCGCAAGTGGTAGTACAACAGAACCAAAGTGAACAGGAACAGGAAGATGAAAAAATCAAGCCCTTTTCATGTAGTTCTTGGTACTGCTGCAACCACTTCTCCACTGCAGGGCGTGGCAGTAAGGGCTTTTGGACCAGAAGAACATTTCTCTTTATAATCTGTGCGACACAATCATCAACCAAGCGACTGAGTTACATACTCGCATCCTCCGAGTCGCAATTCAAAATTAATTTATGTACTATTTAACGTCAAATACAGATTCTGATTTACACTTCCAAATACAAATGCAATCAAAAAAGCACTCAGTAGTTTTCGCCCATTGCTGCAGAGCGAATCTCGTGAGGTCGTACAGGCATTACCAGCTATAGTATATGCAATGAGACATCAACCATAAAATCCGGACTACTTCCACAGTACTCCTCAGTCTTTTCCAGCGAAATAATAGCTATCCACGAAGCCATTTTATTAAGCCGCAACAAACGCGGAAGATACGCTATCTGCACAGATTCACTCTCCTCTATATCCGCAATTACCAATCCCAACAATTCCTCGTACTACCCCACCACAATCCGTAACCTCGTCACCAAACTTTTCCCAGAAATAACAATTATATGGATACCTAGCCACATTGGCATAAAAGGGAACGAAATTGCTGACACCGCGCCAAAACTACCTCCAAACAACCCATCATATATACCCCCAATCATAATTCTAACGACATCTCACTATTCCTTAAGAATATCCTCATATCGAAACAAACAGACCTCCTCACTAAGACTTCCCCCTGGTACCAACAAGTTATCAATCTATCTTCCACTCATCCTCCCCCCAAAAACCTAAACAACCTTAACAGAAGACACCAAGTCATCCTAAATAGATTGAGACTAGGGCACCAAGATTCACCAATGCCCACTACATGGATAAAACATCCTCCAACGCATGCCCACTGTGCCACAACCCAACCATAGACATCAGACACATACTATACACATGCCCCGCCCTCTCCCTTCAAAGATCCTCAATATTCCATAACACCGACCCCATGCAATACATCTCCAACCCTAACAAAAAAAACGCAAATATAATCCTCAACTATCTAGACCAATCTAAAACGAGGGGGAACGTTGTGAGTTGCTGCGGACACCGCAACTCTACGGTTATATATTAAGTCAGTATGGCTCTCCTCCGGCAGACGCCGCTAATATTTAACGACACGACAAAGAGTGCGTGCGAGAGAGACAGAAAATCAGTCTGAGCGTGACGTCGGGCGCTGCGTAGCCACTGCAAATTGATTTGTTCCTTTTGGCTATAAAAATGATCTGATCTGATCCAGATTCAGCAATTTAATAGATATGGTCATTATCTATGATTCTGCGTTTTTAGTTTTCTCAAATCTGCAATATTGTGGATGCAACAGATTTTCGTCCTTTGTGGGGGCGGATGGGGGTGGGGCGAAATTCTGAGATATACGTTTTATAGTGACATCTTAAAGGAGTGTGTGTACCAAATTTGGTTACTCTAGCCTTAATAGTCTCTGAGATTTGTGGTTGCCTCAGATTTTCGTCCTTTGCGGGGGCGGAAGGGGGTGTGGCGAAATTTGGACATGAAACGGTCAAGGTCCGATATCACAGGAGTGTGGATACCAAATTTGGTTGCTCTGGCTTTTATAGGTTCTGAGATCCTTGAACTCATATTTTGCAATTGGCAAAACCGACCATGAAACCTGTGTGTTAGAGTGAGACAGAGCGAGAAAGAGTGAAATTGTTTTCGTGATTCTGGCTGTAATAATTATACGATCTGGTTCAGATTTTGCACTCTAGAAGATATAGTCATCTTCTACGATTCTGCGTTTTTAGTTTTCTCGTATCGTCGAAATTGTGGATGCCACAGATTTTCGCCCTTTGTGGGGGCGGAAGTGGGCGGGGCAAAGTTTTGAAATATTTTTGGAGCAGTGACATATCACAGAAGTCTGGATCCAAAACATCGTTGCTCTAGCTCTTATAGTCTTTGAGCATTAGGCGCTGAAGGGGACGGACAGACGGACAGACGGACGGACGGACGGACAGACGGACAGACAGACATGGCTCAATCGACTCGGCTATTGATGCTGATCAAGAATATATATACTTTATGGGGTCGGAAACGATTCCTTCTGGACGTTACACACATCCACTTTCACCACAAATCTAATATACCCCAATACTCATTTTGAGTATCGGGTATTATCATTCACTACATATAACCTCATAAACAATCATCCCTGTACATATGTCTATAAGTACATACATTCTCAAACGTATAATAATACTATAGAGAGCTTAAGGCCTCAGCAGCTATAGCCCCATACCTTGTTAATACCTAGTTTTAACCTAGCTTTATATAATAATAATGATAAAAAACTCTCCCAACGAGTCATGAACAGTTTGAACCGAAACAGGTCTTTTGAATTTCTGCCACAAATAAAAGCACCAGAAAAATGGAAACTCGGGGATCTTAGTAGGCCTGCTTTCACCGTTATTTTAGCTCAGTTTTGTGTAGGTTGTGTAGGCAGTCAGTTCTCATAAGTGTTTATCAGTTCAACCCGTTCACATCTATTGTTAACGACAAAATTTATTTTAGTTATCAACAAAATTCCCAAACCAAACCCTTCGGGATGCCTTTTAAGTGCATAATCGAGTGCGTCCATAAGATAGCACACAACCTAATCGTAGCCCGTCCTGCGGTGACGATTACACGCGGAGTAAGTTTTGATGTGCGGTCTGATTCGATCGAATCTTCATGATCCGATCTGTTTTGCAGGGCTGCCGTGTTCCCGCCAAGGATGGCACCATAACCAATATAATCTTCTTCACGGCAATCTTCTGGCCTCTGTACGTGTGCCTCTTGAAGGATGTCATCATCCTGCTGAAGGACATGGTCAAGAGGATCATGCGCGAATAGTTGAAGCGACGTTTATAGAGTGATCATAGCTCATAAGTCAAACACAAGTCCATATAACACATTCGAAAACACGGCTCGTTCTATCGACCAACTACCACTCAACATGTTTCGTGCTCATGCTCGTGCACCACCGTCTGGTCCAGTTAGGAATTTCAGCATCTCAGTTTTCTCCACATTTTCGGGGCGTTGCTGTGGAATTCCTCTGGCTTCCAAAAAACGAGCTATTATACTATACTGACAAAATATTCGTACAAATGTAAACCAAAACACCATATTTTCAAATAAACTGCTGGCATCGTCTGAGTTGTGGTTTTAATCTGGTACTCCTCTTGCCTACGATTGTCTTGTAGAACGTCCTGGCATTCGAGGACAGAAAAGGCAATATTTGTAATTCCCCATTGACACATTGACCCAGTGACTAGTTACTCTGACTACTAGCTGTCAACTTAGTTGAATTTATATCACAAAGGTTTGTGCAAACGAAATAAATACAATTACTAGTCTCAACAGAAAACAAGCCTTTCCAGCACTGTATAAAACCACTCCCATCTGAACAGTATTGCGAATTGGCCGTTGATGTAGTCTTTTCCAAGCCGCAGTCCTTGCGCAAGTGGTAGTACAACAGCACCAAAGTGAACAGGAACAGGAAGATGAAAAAATCAAGCCCTTTTCATGTAGTTCTTGGTACTGCTGCAACCACTTCTCCACTGCAGGGCGTGGCAGTAAGGGCTTTTGGACCAGAAGAACATTTCTCTTTATAATCTGTGCGACACAATCATCAACCAAGCGACTGAGTTACATACTCGCATCCTCCGAGTCGCAATTCAAAATTAATTTATGTACTATTTAACGTCAAATACAGATTCTGATTTACACTTCCAAATACAAATGCAATCAAAAAAGCACTCAGTAGTTTTCGCCCATTGCTGCAGAGCGAATCTCGTGAGGTCGTTGTACCAGAAAAATGGATGCTGTGCGCGATTGGCGATTGCCCTTTCCTATTGGGCTTCGGGTGTAACTAATTCTAGTAATAAGTTATTACATTACGTCTTGTGTTGTGTTAGCGCAATATTTAATTCTTTTAGTTCGCTTTTTAATACATATTAGAGTGGTAAGGCGTAGTGTAGTGTGAATTTTATTCAAATTAAATGCGCAGCCGCATGATGGTAGAAGATGTGAGGAGAATAAATGATAATGTTTTAAGGGGAAAATGCTTGATCTTGATCAGAGACTGAAGGTTGCAGGTGGCGGAGGCCCACTGTTTAGCTGAAGGTATTGATCTGAAATGGGGATATCAAACGATGAGAGTTGATTTTGTAGAGAGCAAATGAAGTACTTACAATATCATCAATCTTCAAGATGGAGCGAATCGTCTCCGTGGCCAAGGTGATGGCCGAAACACTGACCAGCAGCGGCTGAACCACATTCTCCGCATAGATATCTGTGATGGCGCCCTTGCGCACATTGATGCCGGCATTCTTCTCGCCCTGGGCATGACGATTGCGCAGCTCTGTGACTGTGGCAATGGGATTGAGGCCGGCATTCTCGGCCAGCGTCGAGGGAATGACCTCCAGGGCATCGGCAAATGCGCGGAAGCAATACGCATCCACACCCTCCACCGTCTGGGCGACGGCAGCCAGTTGCAGTGACATCTCGATCTCGGGTGCACCACCGCCCACAATCTGGAAGGGCTTCTTCACCAGACAACGCACCACACAGAGAGCGTCGTGCAGGGAACGGGCTGCCTCCTCGAGCACCAGTTTGTTGGATCCACGGCAAATGATCGACACAGTGCGTCCCTGGTTCTGGATGCCAGTGATCTTCACGAATTTGTTGGTGCCACTGGCAACCTCCTCCACGAGTTCGGCGCTGACCAGATTATCAGCGGTGAAGTGATCCAGCGATGCAATTGGACGACAGTGCAGGGTCTTGCAGACAAACTCAATGTCCTCACGCTCCACATCCTTGATCACCATGCACTTGATCTTGTCCAGGAAATGCTGGGCCAGATCCGAAACAGCATCACTGTACGAAAATTCAAGATTGAGTCGTGCATAAAAGATGGCTCAATAATCTCATCTTACCGCAGGATAGACTTTTGAACCAGCAGCACATTGCAGCCGGCCTTCTTGACCTGCTTGACAATGTTTAGAATGTAGGAACGTTCCTCCTTCAGCACGCGATCCATGGCAGCGTAGTCCGAAACAATCACGCTGTGATCCATCTGTAAAGGAGATCACATATGGAAACCTGAACCTCTGCTGGAAGTTTTCTCCTACTCACATCGGTTTTTGGTGCCGAAATACAGAATTGGATGAGACCAATCTTGGCCTTCTCGATGCGCTTGGGGGCATTGGTGCCGGCCGAGCGGCTGGTGAAGACCAAGCCTTCAATCAGCTCAGTATCCTCCACGGTACCGCCCAGACTGGAGATGACCTTAATGTTCTTGAGATCCACAGCGGTCTCCTTGCCCGGCTCGGTGACCTTCAGCACGGCGTCCACGGCGATGGGGGCCAAAAGGCTGCTTTGCTGCGAGACCACCTTGGAGTTAAGCGAAGTGGAGGCACTCTTGATCAGGGTCTCACGATCCGTCAGCTCGATGGGGGTGGCCATCTGTGTGAGAATCTCCACAGCCTTGTTGGAGCAGCGCTGGAAGGAGTCCGAAATGGCCGTGGGATGTAAGCCCTTCTGCAGAAGTTTCTCGCAGGCCTCCAGCAAGGCACCGGCAATGACCACGACCGAGGTTGTGCCGTCACCGGCCTCGACATCCTGGGCACGGGACAGCTCGACCAACATCTTGGCGGCAGGGTGGAGCACGTTCATCTGCTTCAAGATGGTGGCGCCATCGTTGGTGATGGAAACCTCACCGTTGCCGGCCTGAATCATCTTGTCCATGCCGCGGGGACCCAAGCTAGTGCGGATGGCATCGGAGACAGCTGTAAGAAATCACACACATTTCTTTTAGTTTTCTTCAACTTTACAAATAAAAGCTAGAATTGGCCAGAAAAATGCTATATCGACAGAACCGTTCGTCACATGAGTAATGCGGCTGCTCTTCTTCTTCTCAAAGAAATTTCCAGACGCAGCCGGCGTCCAACTGCGTTTTTTCAAAGGCATTATCCATGAAAATTTACCATAAAACAACTTCCCACACTAATACATGTCTTACATGCAGCACAAATAACAATTTAGCATGGCTTTTATGTGATGTTTCGGTTTTATTTCTGGTTATTTGGGCATTTCTTACCTTTGGCCGCCTGTATGTTCGACATACGAACATCCGTGGGCTTCGACTTGTCTTTGAAGTTCTGAGACTTCGGTTTAATACCAACTGTTCTAGCCTTAGGCGCCATTGTAGTGTTTATTATACAATTTTTAGCAAGATGCAATTATTATCAACGATTTTAACAGCGATTAACACAGATTAAAATATGTCCAATTTTTATGTTTTGAGGCGGCCCGTGCTGTGACTAGCGATGGTGTCAATATATCGATATATATAGGTGATATTTTTTGGACTGGCGAAACTATGAATATGGAGATTTTAGTGAGATGGAACTACTTCTCGGAATGGTTGTGCAAATTGGCAATATTTTTCTGTTGTTTCACATCTTATTATCATGAGCCCGCGACTTTTAATTCTACTTATCGATGAACAGGGCTGTTGCAAGCAAAATGCCGATATATTTGTGCGATAAATGAAAGTGTGCCCTTATTCTTTTCAGCCGCCTTAATGATTCGACTTTTTTTGTTATTTGTGATATTTGTAAAATTTAAAGACTCGAAATAATGCCGCATGGACATTCCCACGATCACGGTGGCTGTGGCCACGAGGCAACCGATGTGGACCATGCCTTGGAAATGGGCATCGAATACAGTTTGTACACAAAAATTGATGCCGAGAACCTCGAGTGTCTGAACGAGGAGACCGAGGGCAGCGGTAAAACTGTCTTCAAGCCGTACGAATCGCGTCAAGATATGAGCAAATTTGTCCAGAGCGATGCCGATGAGGAGCTGCTCTTCAATATACCCTTTACCGGCAACATCAAACTCAAGGGCATCATCATCTGTGGCGCCAACGATGACTCGCATCCGAATAAGGTTAAAATGTGAGTGTACTCTGGCGGGAAACATTGTTTGAATCTATATTTAATTGGACATGTGTGTTGTTACAGCTTCAAGAATCGACCAAAGATGACGTTCGATGATGCCAAGGTCAAGGTGGACCAGGAGTTTGAGCTAACACGTGACCCCCGCGGCGAAATAGAATACTCACCCAAAGTGGTCAACTTCTCCTCGGTCCATCATCTGACCCTGTACTTCCCCAGCAATTTCGGTGATGACAAAACACGCATCTACTATATTGGTAGGTTTTGGGATATATAACATGTTTATAGCGACTAAACTGGCGCCTTTATTGCAGGTCTTCGGGGAGAGTTTAGCGAGGCTCACTATCATGGCGTAACCATTTGCAATTATGAAGCCCGTGCCAATGCCACTGATCATAAAGACAAGGTCTTTGATGGTGTCGGACGCGCCATACAATAAATCAGAGGATCTGTCTTCATTTCGGTTATAGAGTGCTGTATTTCTGAGTTTCTCTCTAAATTATATTTTGTGATCAATTGAATTATCAAATGAAATATTTATATGTATAACGTAACTAATTGAAGCATAATTAAGCATTTATTGCACTATTCTTGTACTTTTGATTCGTTCTCAAGCATGCTGCGCAGCTGGTGGCACCACATCAGGTCCGATCTTCACTCCAATATTGGGGGCCTTATCAGAATGGATCTCTGCCGACACATCGGTAAACAGTTTGTCCCACTGCCAGATCTCATCTACCTCATTGAGGGTCTCCTGGGGCAGCAGGCAGTCGGTCAATACGGACAGATTAAAATTATCAACTGCATTGAAAGCGTGCTGTGAAAGCAAGTCCGTGCTGATCTCCTTGAGAACCGCCAAACGATTTAAGCTGGCACTGAAGGCAGATAAGTTTTGAACTAAATATTTACTAAATTATTAGATTTAAATTCTTAACTTACGTAGGCGGTTCAACTATTTCGTTGAGCATGATTTCATCCTTGAAGTCGTCCACATCGGGAATAACAGGTATATCATCAGTGGGAACGGATGTTGCTGATTTTGTCTGTTGAAAACGCTCGCTTAAAGGATGCAAATATGAATTAATTATATCTAAAAGATCTCCATGACTAAAACTTACTCATCGAATGAATTCTTCTTGGATCTGTGGAAGGTATGGCATAATTATTCAACGATTTATGGTAGCGTTTAGGGACACTCACTTTAAACCCTTGAAGCCAGCATCCGCCCAACCTCCAGATATGCGTCGGATGGGCGGCCGGTGTGATTCGAATTCATTGTTGTATGTGGACGAGGTGGCCTCCGTTGTCGTGGGACTTCCCTGCGCCTGCACATTCAGAGTGATATCTATGGATATGTCCTTAACAGGCTGCGAAGATTCCTCCTTCAAGACATCGCGACTCTTGGAGCGGCGCCCCTTGCGGGCCGTTGTCTAAGCGAATATAATTGTATTTTTAGAATCAAAATCGGCCATTATATTACAGTTTACCTTTCTTATGGTCATTTTTAGCTCCTCGGCCCAATCCATAGCTAATTTGTTTATTTTTTCCGCGTTACCAAGGCAACAAGTGTTCATCGGGCCTATTGAAATATACCGTAATATACCGAAAAATGCATCAAATTACTAACCATACGGTATATATGTATATGGTGAGAGCTTCAACTAAATTTCGACGTCAAAAAATACCGAAAAGTATATAATATACCGCAGACGATACAATCGATGTCACTATCGATGAATCGATATTGGATGCAACAAAACAGGCTGGCAGCACCTCATGTCAGCAGGGTAACCGTTTACGGTATTTTTGAAAATGAGGCGGTATGTTTCGGTATATTTCTGAGGGTCGGACGGTATATTTTATCGATAAATCCACGGTCACACTGCATGTCAGTTTAAAGGAATTCAGTTTGCCAAAAATTAAGCACTAGAAAATATATTTTTAATCAAGGAAGATGCTGACAGACACCGACGATGACTTCTTCTTCGAGGAGGATAAAATGTGAGTAGCCTTTGTGTGGAATATTTACCCAAAAATTGTCTGCATAGATCTTTCGTTTATTGGCAAAAGAAAAAAACAAACTGTTGCGATGCGATTCGTAAGTTTCTGTTATAAATCAATAATTGTACAAAATCGAACCATATTGTTAGACCCGGGCCAGTTCCCTTGCTCATCCAGTTAGATGGGGATGCCGTGAAGAGTTCTCCACGCGAAAAGGATGTTCTCGAGGAGGAGCCGAGGAACCACCACTCCTCCTCCTCCCCCTCCTCGATCAACGAGACAACTGTTGTCCTGTGCTCGGGCTTCGGCTCCGACAGGTTTGGCAGCGAGTCGTCCACTAGGCAGAAAAATGAGTTAGATCGTTTGTAAGTCCAGCGTTTGACCCAAGAATCATTTGATATAATGGTATATGTATTTATATTTGTACTAATCCCCCCTAAAAATAAATTACCCGACAGACTCCTAGAACTAATGGTATACTTTTTTGTTTTAAGCAGAATTAAGGAAAATTATGGTTTTCGTTTGTGTGTAGATGTCTAGATGCTTATACTCCACTAACTCGAATTTAGAGCTAGGCTTAGACCTATATACTATACAAAAGGAACGAGTATTCTTTGAATTTTGTTGTTAAGAGGTTTCCTTCGGCCCCTCTTGGGGCCACCACCGTCATCGATAGTATCATGATGCCTTAGCTTAAACTGTCCCCATCAACAGCCGTAGGTAACTTTGTTATTATCCAATGGCCTTGCTAGAACAGGTAACATGGCTATTTAGAAAACTGCACCCATCTACTATGTGAGTACACCATAAGGCTGGTATATACATACATGCATACACCCATTCACACCTATTCAATTAGTAATAATATATCGTATAGAGCACGCTTCAGTCTAGCAATTAAAATCTATATATTTTTTTAATTAAAATTAGTTTCTTTCGGATTTTATCAGGGGTATGACGGTCACCACTAATGCCGTCGTCATTACTAAGGATCAGAGCAACTTGATTGGCATCAGCATTGGCGGTGGAGCACCCATGTGTCCCTGTCTATATATTGTACAGGTATGTCTGTTTGTTATAGCCAAAATCAACTGATAAAAGTGGAACGAATGGGAAACCAGTAAACTAATACCCAAAGATCCATCACTGATGGCTGATTGCATCAGTGATTGCCTTTGTGCGTTTCCAGGGATTAGGCGTAGCCTTGAATACTGTCTTCAGGCGCTGCTTCAAGTACTCCTCCTCTTCTCGTTTGACCCATTCCATGGCCTCTTTTTGACTGCGCTCTGTCATCTTCCGATTTATTTGCTGATCGAACTGTTTCCGACGTTTGCCCCGCTCCTCGCTGCGTAAATTGAAGGGCTTGACCTGGATAGTGGACGACTCGATGCGGGGAATAAAGGGCTGTCGGTACAGGTTGGGCAACGGATACCGATTGATTTTTGGAACGAACTTAGGTTTCGTCTTCTTCTTTAGTTCCTTTATTTCACGCTTACGCCTCAACTCAGCCTGCATGGACATGACCAGAGTATGGGGCGTGCGTGGTTTGGTCAGGACTTGACCAGATCCCAAGCTACTTCTCATCTTCTCCAGGCGCTTGTGTAAGCGGTTAAAATTGGGCATTGGAGTGCTGTGAAACTGGTTCTCGGTTCGTGTGGCCCTGTCCCACCGCTCGCAGAGGTCCTTCCTGCGATTTTCGTAAATTTTCTGAAATTCGTAGACACTGGGCGTCAGTTTCCCGAGCTTAGGTTTTTTCGGCTTTCGCTTTTGGCTGTCCACGCCGGCTTGTTTGCGACTAAACCTCAGCATATTGGCGCTCTGCTCCAGTAGGATGGCCCTTATTTTGCCGTCCAACTGATCGCAGCGAGGAATAGTCTCTGGCTTTTTGCTTAGCCTACGTGGAGTGCTGTTGAAGTCCACATCGATCCACTTGTACCAGTTGCTGATGGTCATAATTTTTGAATTTTTGTTTAATTTTTTTGTGGTTACCGATCAACTGCTACAACTGAAAGGAAATTTGGAATGTTAACTCCCAGAATACATATTCGAATGTGATTCAAAGTTTCCAACACTTTACCCACAGATTTTCGATGGGACGCCCGCCGCACGCGAGGGATCCCTCCAGTCGGGTGACGAGCTGCTGGCCGTGAATTCCGTCAGTGTGAAGGGCAAGACGAAAGTGGAGGTGGCCAAGATGATACAAACGGCCACCGATGAGGTGATCGTACACTATAACAAACTCCACGCGGATCCGGAACAGGGCAAAACTCTAGACATTATTCTCAAAAAACTGAAGCATCGGATCGTGGACAACATGTCGAGCAATACGGCGGATACTTTGGGACTGTCACGTGCTATATTGTGCAACGATTCGCTGGTCAAGCGGCTGGAGGAGCTGGAGGGTACCGAACTGATGTATAAGGGTCTGGTCGAGCATGCCCGCCGTATGCTGAAGGCCTACTATGACCTGTTGCAGACGTACAAGTCGTTTGGCGATTGCTTCACTCAGATCTCAGCGCACGAGCCGCAACAACGGGCGTCGGAAGCCTTTCGCACCTTTGGCGAGTTCCATCGGACGCTGGAGAAGGACGGCTTGGGCATTATCAAACAGATCAAGCCAGTCCTGGCCGATCTTGGGACATATCTAAACAAGGCGATACCGGATACAAAGCTTACGGTGCGTCGCTATGCGGATGCCAAATTCACATACCTCTCCTACTGCCTGAAGGTCAAAGAGATGGACGATGAGGAGCATGGCTTCGCCTCGCTCCAGGAGCCGCTCTACCGCGTTGAGACAGGCAACTATGAGTACCGTCTGATCCTGCGCTGTCGCATGGACGCGCGCAGTAAGTTTGCCAAATTGCGCACAGATGTCCTCGAGAAAATGGAGCTGCTAGAGTGCAAGCATGCCATGGATCTGAACAAACAGCTGCGAAGCCTTCTCGAGAGTCTGGCCGAGCTGCATCGAAGCCTGGTGGAGCGCCTGGAATCCCTGCCGCCGCTCTTCCCCATCGAGGTGGATTTCAAGGAAACCGACTTTCAATACAAGTCCAGCACTCTGAAGCCCCAAGAGCTGGATGATGATGAGATCGAAGCCAATGCCAATCCCAATGCGCGTCCTCCCAATATTGATTGTGGCCTCGAGGCTGTCGAGCAGCCGGCGGCCATCATTAATGTGGAAATCAAGGAAACCGTGGAGTCCACTGCTGCGCCAGAATCAAATAGCACTGAAAATGAAACGCTGCTTAAGGAACTGGGTCTCTACGATGTGGACCTGCTATCCAATCCGCAAACCATTAGCAACCAAAAGGATTCCATTTCGGCCCAAAACGATGGCTACGACTTTGATCTGTTTCTGAATCAGGCCAATGCAGCCTCCACTAGTCTGGAGCGCGATTTGATGTCATCGAATGCCGAAGAGATGGATCTGCTGTTGCAATAAGTTCTCTGTATAGTACAATTGTGTGTTTAATAAATGTGTTTACAAAAAAGCCCCATCTCAAATTTGTATGCAGCTGATAGAGTCGCCAAGGTTCACATATCTGGGAAAACTGCAAATAATTTGTCAAAATCAGGAGCGATCATAAACTACAAATTAATACAATTCATAAAATATATATTTTAATAGTTATCACAAACTTACTTAAATGTAATAAACATATTTAATATATTTTTTTGCAAGGTTTAAATCAAATCCAATATATTGGCAATAAGAAAACTTAAATAAATACGCATTCAATGGAATTGCTAGGGCATATAAAATTCGGTGCGCTGATGAATGACGATTTTATACAAAACATTGATAATTTATAGCTCATACACCGAACATGGCGCAAACGAACTTTCTGGATTAGATCCCACGGTTTTCAGCTCTGGCGTACGTCTACCACCGCGTCAGCACAAGTAGTCAGCCTAGCCATTACCGACATCGCCTTCCCTATTGAATCAAGCTTTACCTCATCGGCTCTGACCGGTAAGTTTTCCTTGTTTTCCCCCCTGTTTATCTTTTTCATTTCAGGCCGAAAACTCCTAAGCCTCCTTTTAACCCGCCAGGTAAAGTTATTAAGTTCTTATTTATTCATTTACTTTATATCATTCTTCCTTTCATTTTAGCAGGTCGGCCTGCCCGGTGGACAGAAATACCTTTGGTGTTTCGGTTCATATGAACGAGTGTGCACTCGATGACGGCTACTGACTCGGGACACGATTCCTGTCGCGATTGGCTGACCTTTGACCTTTGAGTCCGCCCACTGCCATGGCCGTCTGCCTTGCGTCCCACGCTGTTTTCTCCGCGGATGATTCCGCCGTACCTCCTCGTCCTGTCAGGAAGTCCAAGGGACATGATGCCGCGTCTGTGTTGCTGAGTCGAGCGTCCCGTCCACTGCAGCAGAGACCAGTGATCGACGGCGGAATTGTTGGTTCACGCCCACGGGAAATAATGTCAACAATCCCGACATTGATACGCCGCCGACTCAAGCACTGGGCTTCAGCTTCGAGACGTGTAAGTGAATCAGCATATAAGTGTGGTTATACTTTAAAATACATATATCTTCCTTCACAGATGACTTATGTACTCTACGCTTTGGCAGAAACCGAGTCGTATCCGATTTCCCACCGCCAGACGGTGCCCTGCCCAGCATTACCGAGGCCAATTCAACACAGACGGAGTCCGATCCCAGCCAGACAGAATCGTACCCCAGCAGGATAGAAGCGCACCTCTTGCAAGATCCGACAAAATCAAGTCATCGTCATCTTGGAAATGGCCATCAAGGACTTTGACTGTGGCAACTATGGGAGCGGCTACGCGGGCTACTAGATTCTAGATAGATCTCATCGTTGTTAGGTTTAAGGATATACAAAGCTATACATTTAGAAAGTAGATATTAATGCTGTCCACTTGTTTATTTATTTATACTAAGTTAAATTATGATGAATAAAAATATTGAAAAATCATCCTTGCTGAATCCTGTATCGGAGAAAGGATCCCGACTACAAAAAGGAGTGGCACGCTCACGTTCCGATCGGGTCCCAAATAGCCGAGAAAACTGAAAAAAATATCCTTGACCATTTGTCCTGGATAAGGACTCTACCAGATTAAGGATGTTATTACAGACACAGGAAGCCGTCGCATGTTCCGATCGAGCCACAAAAAGCCGAGAAAACTAAATATGCATAGTTCGGGTCGTTGCAGTCCTTACCGAAGGACCAAGGACATTTTTTCTGATCACGGGGGCCATGGCACGCCCCGATCGGGTCACAAATAAGAGAGAAAACAAGATATATATGTCTGGTGTAAAAATCCTTGATCCTTGGTCCTTGATAAGGACTCGAGCAAATAAGGGACATTTTTCCGATCACAGGAAGCCGTCGCACGCACAGATCGGCCCATAAATAACGGAGAAAATGAATAACTTTGATCCTTGCTATCCTTGGTCCTTGAAAAGGACTCCATCACATCAAGGACATTTTTCTGATCACAGGAAGCCGTCGCACGTCCTGATCGGGCCACAAATAAGGGAGAAAACAAGATAAATAGGTCTGGAGTAAATATCCTTGATCCTTGGTCCTTGATAAGGACTCCAAAAAATCAGGGACATTTTTCCGATCACAGGAAGCCGTCGCATGTCCCGATCGTTCCTCAAATAACGGGAAAACCACACACAAAAAAACTCCCGTCAAATGGCCAAAATCTGGATGGGATACCAGGCGAACATAAATCAGCAGAAGGTAACTGAATTTTTTTGAAAAATTTATGGTCCCCCAAAAGTATGCACCACATTTTTTTGCACTTGCTACAGTTGCTTGCTGCTGATTTCTGTTCCCCTGGTATCCCATCCAGATTTTGGCCATTTGACGGGAGTTTTTTTGTTATGTACGGTGGCGCCCCTATCGGTGATTTCTTGAACTACATTTTCAAATATAACAAATTACAAGCCCGTTATGTTTTCTCCGTTATTTGAGGCCCGATCGGGACATGCGACGGCTTCCTGTGATCGGAAAAATGTCCCTGATTTGTTGGAGTCCTTATCAAGGACTAAGGATCAAGGATATTTACTCCAGACCTATTTATCTTGTTTTCTCCCTTATTTGTGGCCCGATCAGGACGTGCGACGGCTTCCTGTGATCAGAAAAATGTCCTTGATGTGATGGAGTCCTTTTCAAGGACCAAGGATATCAAGGATCAAAGGTATTCATGTTCTCCGTTATTTATGGGCCGATCTGTGCGTGCGACGGCTTCCTGTGATCGGAAAAATGTCCCTTATTTGCTGGAGTCCTTATCAAGGACCAAGGATCGAGGATATTTACTGCAGACATATTTATCTTGTTTTCTCCCTTATTTGTGGCCCGATAAGGACGTGCGACGGCTTCCTGTGATCAGAAAAATGTCCTTGATGTGATGGAGTCCTTTTCAAGGACCAAGGATAGCAAGGATCAAAGTTATTCATTTTCTCCGTTATTTATGGGCCGATCTGTGCGTGCGACGGCTTCCTGTGATCGGAAAAATGTCCCTTATTTGCTCGAGTCCTTATCAAGGACCAAGGATCAAGGATTTTTACACCAGACATATATATCTTGTTTTCTCTCTTATTTGTGACCCGATCGGGGCGTGCCATGGCCCCCGTGATCAGAAAAATGTCCTTGGTCCTTCGGTAAGGACTGCAACGACCCGAACTATGCATATTTAGTTTTCTCGGCTTTTTGTGGCTCGATCGGAACATGCGACGGCTTCCTGTGTCTGTAATAACATCCTTAATCTGGTGGAGTCCTTATCCAGGACAAATGGTCAAGGATATTTTTTTCAGTTTTCTCGGCTATTTGGGACCCGATCGGAACGTGAGACGGTGTCCTGTGATCCGAAAAATGTCCCTGATTTGGTAGAGTCCTTATCAAGGATCAAGGACATTTTCCCCAATCAAAAATATTAAGTTTTCTCCTCTATTTGTGAACCGATCTGGGCGTGCCACTCCTTTTTGTAGTCGGGATCCTTTCTCCGATACAGGATTCAGCAAGGATGATTTTTCAATATTTTTATTCATCATAATTTAACTTAGTATAAATAAATAAACAAGTGGACAGCATTAATATCTACTTTCTAAATGTATAGCTTTGTATATCCTTAAACCTAACAACGATGAGATCTATCTAGAATCTAGTAGCCCGCGTAGCCGCTCCCATAGTTGCCACAGTCAAAGTCCTTGATGGCCATTTCCAAGATGACGATGACTTGATTTTGTCGGATCTTGCAAGAGGTGCGCTTCTATCCTGCTGGGGTACGATTCTGTCTGGCTGGGATCGGACTCCGTCTGTGTTGAATTGGCCTCGGTAATGCTGGGCAGGGCTCCGTCTGGCGGTGGGAAATCGGATACGACTCGGTTTCTGCCAAAGCGTAGAGTACATAAGTCATCTGTGAAGGAAGATATATGTATTTTAAAATATAACCACACTTATATGCTGATTCACTTACACGTCTCGAAGCTGAAGCCCAGTGCTTGAGTCGGCGGCGTATCAATGTCGGGATTGTTGACATTATTTCCCGTGGGCGTGAACCAACAAATCCGCCGTCGATCACTGGTCTCTGCTGCAGTGGACGGGACGCTCGACTCAGCAACACAGACGCGGCATCATGGCTATGGCACGCAGGACAGCCGGTGTGCCACGGTCCAGCCAGGAGAACATCTCTTGGACTTTCAGACAGGACGAGGAGCTACGGCGGAATCACCCGCGGAGAAAACAGCGTGGGACGCAAGGCAGAGGACCATGGCAGTGGCTGGACTCAAAAGTCGCACAGTCGAGTAAGTGATTCAGGCCACAGCCTATCGCGACAGGAATCATGTCCCGAGGGAGTGGAGTGGACAGCCGTCATCGAGCGCACACTCGCACCGGAAGACCAGAGGTATTCCTGGCCACCAGAGGGGGCAACCTGCTAAAATTAAAGGAAGGAATTTTAAATAAAGTAAATAAATAAATAATAACTGAATAACTGAGAGGATCTCGGCCAATAGAGCTGGAAGGAAGCACGTACGTCGTCAAAAGTGCAGGTAAATAAATAATACACCAGTTGCTGGATCGTAGATGCAGTATCGATCCGGCAAAATCAAACATTTCTCGGAAATCAAGTGAAAAAGCGTGGAATTTTAACAGCTAGTGAGTGTAAAGACTAGTCTAGTAGGCCGACTATTGGGAAGTCAACTTTAACATTTATATCGAATTATCTTTTGTATAGAAATGGATCAAAAGTTCAAGTTTTCCCCAAGCGTCTTTGGTTCTGCGGGAACTGTGGAGCAATCGTCGTATGCATTGAAGGCAGTTTCCAAAGGCAGCACTTCAGTGGGCATCGTCGCATCAGAAGGCGTCGTCATTGGCACCGCAACGCGAAAGACTTCGGAACTGATGGAGCCGCGCGGCATGCCACACGTGGCCCCAATAAACACTATGATAGGAATGGCCTATTCTGGATTGAGTGGCGACTTTCGAATTCTCAAAAATCACGCCCAGAGATGTTCCATCCAGAATAAGTAATTGTCTCGTTTAGATTTTCGTTGATCATTGTTGATGATTACAATTACTCCCCCATAGCCTGAGCAATGGCTCTGCGGTCAAAGTGAAGGAAGTGGCGCATTGCATGGCCATCCTCATGCAGGAATACACACAAATGGCGAGCGCGCGACCCTTTGGAGTCTCTCTACTGATCGCCGGCTGTGACAAGGGGGTGCCGCATCTGTACGATTGTAGTGCCAACGGTACCCACTCGAACAGAAAGGCCATTGCCCTGGGCCGTAATGCAGGCATATGTACAAGCTTCTTGGAGAACCGCTTCACTGAGAGTCTCAAGATAGAAGATGCCATTGATACTGCACTGCTGGCTTTAAAAAAAGGATATGAGGAGAAGGAGGCGGAGCTGAAGGAGGGTGACGGTGATGACGAAGAGGAGGATCCCATGCCTACCGAAGTCATCCAAATTGGCATTGCCTATCCGGAGGGTTTCGAGTGTATGGACTCTAATACTGTCGATGAGTTCTATGCCACCTCTACCTACCTTGACTAACAATACTTCATTTTCATTTTGTTTTAAATGCAACATTACAACAATAAATAAATAACACCTTCCCAACTTCATAGCCGAGTTGCTTTTCGTATTTCTCTTAATATATATATTGTTTTTTCCAACAAAACAAAATACTCCTTCAAAAAGTAAAATGTTCTTTAACATTTATGGAAATTCGCACTCGCGTAAGTTATATAGTCTAGTCTGACGGACGGACACAGTCTCACATAACGTATGTGTGCTTTATAGAAATTTGCCCGTTTTTTGAAAATATATTCCAAAACTAGTAAAAGTACTACATTTATAACCCTAATACCACTATATCATACTTTTTGGAATAAGTCTATCCAAGAACTATTATTGATGGACTTCCGTTTACTCCACTTTATTGCAAAGCGCACGTATTTTTGCAATGAGAATCCAGAGTCCAAAGATTCCCCCCAAGCAGAGGAAATAGCCTCCGTTGACTAGATACTGATCTCGCAGGCCCAAGCCAAAGCCCGGATCAGGTTCCACCACGATAATGATAAGGATCGTTTGCGACAAGAGACCCACCAAAGTGTTGATGCCGAAGACAAGGCCAAAGCTGTCCTCCACCAGATTCTCGGCCACAATGGCTCCTGCCACAGTGATAATGAAGAAGAAGATGGCGCAGAAAAGCATATAATTGACGTATGCCACCCAGAGGAAAGTGGTTTGTGAGGCAAAGAGCAGGAGACCGCCCAGAACGGCAGCGCAAATGGAATTGCACAGCATGTAGAAGCTACGTCGCTTGTTCGAGTTGAGCATACCCGCCGCAATGGCTCCTACGGCGCCCAAGAGAGTGGCCACTGCCTCCACACCGCCATTGTAGACGCTCAGATTTTTGGGCGCCACCTCCTTCCACAAGAATTGAATGTACGATATCACCTATTCGAACAGAAATCCCATTACTAGAGGACCAAAAATAATTATATTCATGTGAAGATTACCTGAATCTGACCACAGATGGCCAGGGCCCACCACACACTCCATTGCAGGACAATGGGGTTAGAGTAGGAGGACACCAGGTGATACCACAACAGGCGACAAGCCATTTTCATTGAGAATTTTGGCTCATTCTCGTCGCCACCAATCGTCGCACTCCGACTGGCATCATTCGCATAGAAATACAGACTACGTGGCACGCTGGGCAAGATCAGAGACACACCCAGCGATATGATCTGTGTGGTCAGCGATATGTAGTACAGCTCCCCGTAATCCATGCTGTCGGTAGACACCAGAACCTGCGCCACCACTCCGCCCAGAAACTTTCCGCTCAAGATCGCCGCACGCGTGTGTCCGGTGACGATCTGATAGCGCTCCTTGTCCACTTTGGCATAGATGTACGTGTAGTAGGCCACCTCGGCGGCCGTGAAGAAGCCATAGAAGAGCTGGGCAACCTGCAGCATTCCCAGTGTATCGCACCATATCTGCATGGCGAACAGCACGATCCCAGCAACGGCGGACAAAACGATCACCGGCTTATACCGCACCAGATCCGTGATGAGGAACACAATCACCAATTGCGCTAGCACCGAGTACGTGCCAAAGGGATAGACTTTCTGGTATACCTGCTCGGTGGTCAGATTACCATAGTCTCCGGCCAGATATTCGGTCACATACGGCTCCGATGGCCGCATCTCGCGAAGGAAGCCGAAAGTGCAGAGCAGCAGCGAGACCTTCAGCCAGTACTCCATATTCTATGGATCGTTCAGCGAGCGCTGCTAAGTGGTGATAAAGAATGCAACCGACAACTGATCGGCCAGGAGTTTAACTATTCCTTTACACAAGTCTGAGAGAACCACTAATTTGTATCTCTCCCTCATCGATCATACTCTCGAAAATCGTGTAGAGCTTCATCATATGAACATATATGCTACGCTTGCTTTTATTACCAGGCGAGCTTTTTAGGACAAGAAAGTCTATTAGCTTGTTAACTAGATTTTAATAGGCCATTCATACATTGTTTGTCCCAAAAGGATGGTACACCTACTCGTAATAAACATCTCCGTATTTCATAAAGAATTAACCATATAAAGAACCTACTTCAGGCAGAAGTAAGCTCAGTCTGTCCAAGGTCTTCTACAAGAAATTTGTCGTTTTTGTATACAAATGTCAAGGTGTAATGTGGTTGTTTAGAGCACCAATTTACCCGACCATGTTAAAAGCCGATATTTCCTCTTGGTGTTAACCCCTAACCATTTTCACAACGTAGCATTACTCAAAGCATTCGTCCGTGTATCTGACTTATAACGTAACTGTTATTTCAAAAATTCAAACGCCCTCGGGCTCACATACAGTCTGAAGTCTCTGAAGAACAATATTCTTTCTGCTTCTACTCATTTGTTTGCAGAAAACTGACCTTCACTATGCACTTCACGTTAGCACAGATCGAATGATCTAGGGCTGCGCGTCGGCTTTAGCTTTCCACGCATTTAAAGCACAATCGCTAGATAAGATAAACACGATAATCTAAAGCATAGAAGCATGCTCGACCGACCAAAGCTTTCTAGTGTCTTTCTAATTCTTTTCAACCGTATGCAGATTAGCTGCAGCTACAGCGCTGTGCGCGTAAATATGGGCCGTCACAAAGGGTGAGGGCTGGCTGGCGATCAGTGAATATGGCACATAAGGCGCACAGAACTTAGTCACATTTGTGTGGGGGTCAGGTTAAACAGAAGTCCAATGAGAAAGGAGTGGTCAAGGGAGTGCGCTAAAAGTATCTCCTGTACGCATTTAATTATTCCAAAAGTAGCTAGATCCCTGATTGCATCAAGATTGCTCATAAACAGACTTGCTTCTACTACTCCTGATGTCTGTTGATCAGTGTTCGGGGGTGTGTGCTGGTCACGCGGGGTCACGTTTTGTTTCTTGCGGGGCTTTCGCGTAAGTTCCGAAAAAGGCCTACTACGGACGCTGAAGAAGCTTGGGCATTATTAAACAGATCCAAATGCCAAATTCACATACCTTTCATACAACTTGAAGATCAAAGAGATGGACGATGAGAGGCCTCGCTCCTTCGCGTTGAGCTGGACGATAACGACATCAAGGCCAATCCTTCCAATATATGTAGTTTGTGGCCAAACGCTTCTTAGACCTGCTGGTCAATCCGCAAACCATTAGCAACAAAAATTGCTGTTGCAATAAGATCTGTAAAAAGTACAATTGTGTTTTTAATAAATGAGTTTACAAAAAAAAAACACAGGTATGCAGCTGATAGAGTTGCCAAGTATCTTAAAGCTGTATGAAACTATGCAAATTTTCAAGATCGGGAAGGATCATATACATATCTGATTTTAAAATTGGTGTTCTTATGATAAAATATATGTTTTATTTTAATAGTTATCCCAATTTACTTAAAACTAATCAACGTTCATATATTTCATATATATTTGAAAGTTTGAAATATATTTTCAATCATATCCGAGAAATATGTCAGCTATATGATATCGGAATTAGCATATATGTATTTATAGGAACAATTAAATAATTACGCATCCCATCGACCCATTAATAGTCTTTTGAGATTAACAAATATTAACACTCGAATTACAAGGTATATACAATTCGGTGGGCTGATGCGGAACGATTTAATACAAAATTTTTCTAAATTATATCGCATTACGTGTCTCATGGTCTCCGCTACGTGGTTATTCGCATTTGCTTCGAGTTCCTGGACTTGGCACATAGCTTTGCAATGAGAATCCAGAGTCCAAAGATTCCCCCCAAGCAGAGGAAATAGCCTCCGTTGACTAGATACTGATCCCGCAGCCCCAAGCCAAAGCCCGGATCCGGTTCCACCACGACAATGGTGAGGATCGTCTGCAACATGAGTCCCACCAAAGTGTTGATGCCGAAGACGAGGCCAAAGCTGTCCTCCACCAGATTCTCGGCCACAATGGCTCCTGCCACAGTGATGATGAAGAAGAATATGGCACAGAAGAGCACATAATTGACGTAAGCCACCCAGAGTACAGTGGTTTGTGAGGCGTATAGCAAGAGACCGCCCAGAACAGCAGCGCAAATGGAGTTGCACAGCATATAGGAGCTGCGTCGCTTGTTCGAGTTGAGCATACCCGCCACAATGGCTCCTACGGCGCCCAGGAGGGTGGCCAATGCCTCCACACCGCCATTGTAGACGCTCTGATGTTCGGGCGCCACCTCCTTCCACAGGAACTGAATATACGATATCACCTATTCGAACAAAAATCTCATTTTAGGAGGACCAAAAATAATGATATTCATGAGAAGATTACCTGAATCTGACCACAGGTGGCCAGGGCCCACCACACACTCCACTGCAGGACAATGCGGTTCGAATATGAAGACACCAGGTGGTACCACAGCAGGCGACAGGCCCTTTTGAGTGAGAATTGTGGGACCTTCTCCTCGCCGCCAGGCGTTGGACTCGGACTGGCATCATTCGCATAGAAATACAGACTGCGTGGCACGCTGGGAAGAACCAGGGACACACCCAACGATATGATCTGTGTGGTCAGCGATATGTAGTACAGCTCCCCATAGTCCATGCTGTCGGTGGACACCAGAATCTGGGCCACCAGTCCGCCCAGAAACTTTCCGCTCAAGATAGCCGCACGCGTGTGTCCGGTGACGATCTGATAGCGCTCCTTGTCCACCTTGGCATAGATGTACGTGTAGTAGGCCACCTCGGCGGCCGTGAAGAAGCCATAGAAGAGCTGGGCAACCTGTAGCATTCTCAGGGTATCGCACCATATCTGCAGGGCGAACAGCACGATCCCAGCAACGGCGGACAGAACGATCACCGGCCTGTACCGCACCAGATCCGTGATGAGGAACACAATCACCAATTGCGCTAGCACCGAGTACGTGCCAAAGGGATAGACATTCTGGTATACCTGCTCGGAGGTCAGATTGCCATAGTCTCCGGCCAGATATTCGGTCACATACGGCTCCGATGGCCGCAGCTCGCGAAGGAAGCCGAAAGTGCAAAGCAGCAGCGAGATCTTCAGCCAGTACTCCATATTCTGTGGATCGTTCAGCGAGTGCTAAAGAATGCAGCGCGTGTTCCCTGTGTCGTAACCAAAGCCCAAAACGACGCGACGCACTGAACGACGAACCGGCGACTGATTGGACCGATCGGGCGGGCCCGCCAAGTGCTGAGGCTTTCTCTGTCTTATACGTTTAACTATTCCTATACATAGATCTGAGAGAACCCCAACTTGTGCTCTCCCGCTCATCGAACCTCTCAAAAATCGTATAGAGCAGCATCGTGTCAACATATGTGCTAGACTTGTTCACTCTTCAACAAGTTCTCATTAACAGAAGAGCTTTTTAAAGCTACAAATGAGTTTTTTAAACTTATTAACTCGAATTAGTAGGCCATTAACTTCCCAAAATAAAGCACAGTGCCTAAACAGATGGAAAAAACATGTTACGAAACTGGCTTAGCTACTGGTTGGTTAATTGACACTTATTTCATAAAAAATTTCATCGATAAAAAAATTTGTATGGCTGATTCAATTTATGATATCAATTGTTCAAATTCCTTACATAATTGATTCAAAAAAATCTTCAATATATTTTTATAAGTTTTGAAAATTTGCAATAAATTCACATTGTTAAGATCCCTACAATTATTTTCGAAAGGTCTTGTAATTTATTAGTTCGATTCTATGGTTGAATCTTTTGATACCCTACAATATGTATGGGAAAGAACTTGATCAAGTATTTAGGATACCCAAAAAATTGATTAACATACTTTTTGATTTTTACCTTTTTCATACAGATATCTGTCAACACCTTTGCTTTTGAATAAGAATACATATCAAACCTCCTATCTACATAGGAACCCCTTTCTGTGCTAGAATTTTTGGTCTTAAATAGATATAAATATATTTATAATGGCTGGAGACCATTGCAAGGGTATACGAACATCGAATTCGACTAATCCGACAGACAGAAAACATTTGCATGACCTTGGCCATGACCGCAAGTGTACATATGTAAAACCATTTGCTTTATAATCTTAATGCCATAACTCGAATGCCAGTTCTTATAAAAACCTCTGTGCTGCTGAGCGTGACCCTCGGTAGTGCGGTGATTTAAATATATAATTTCATCATCAATGCGTTCCACTGTATCAATCAGAAGCGGTCGCTCTGCTCTCGTCTCTGTTTGTGGGACATGGGCCCGACCCATTTGTTTTAGCGATTTGCACGCCAAGCGAAATAATCAGACGCTCTCCCTTTCTCAGTATGAAAACACGAGACACTTGAATTCTTCTTTCGTTTCATTTCAATTGATTGTGACATTAATTGTTGGTTATTCTTTATCGTCGCCGTCGATAGCTGGCTTCAAAGGCGTCGATTCCAGATAGTGGTGAGTATTTCCAAATCAAGTGTCGATCTTTGATTTAGTAAAACCCAAACTGAGGGTTTTTTAATGCAGTCCAAGTCTAATACAATCTTATCTATTTAGCCTAATCTGTGGACCTTAAATTTCGTATCTCATGTCGGAGATTACAATCGTATATAGTAAATATAATTTCGTATATCAAATGATTTTTATTACTCTTTGAGAGGCACTCTTTGAGCGTACTTCGAGGGTACTGTTAAAAGGGCAGAACTTTACTCTCAGATCACTTCCTTTTCAAGTAGTCCTCGTAGAGTTTTAAAAGTTCTGGACTGGTACGCGGCTGTACTGCCGCCAGGGCATGCTCAAAGTGCGACCAATCCACCTGCTCCGCGTCGAAGCTTTGCTCGAGGGCACGCATAGCTGCCTCATGGCAGACGGCCTGAATTTCGGCCCCCGAATAGCCGTCTGTCAGCTCTACCAGCTTGTCCACCTCCACATCCTTGGCCAGCGGCATCGGGCGCAGTTTTATGCGTAAGATTTCACTTCGAGCATCGGCTTTTGGAAGTCCCACGTAGAGAATGCGATCGATGCGTCCGGGACGAAGAAGAGCTTTGTCTATCAGATCAGGCCGATTGGTGGCCGCCACAATGGTCACATTCTGCAACGCCTCTACGCCGTCCAGTTCGGTGAGGAGTTGGGTGAGTACACGCTCTTTGACGGACGAACCCGAGCCGGAGCCAGAGCCCTCGCCTTCTGCTCTTTCGCCGCCAATGGCATCGATCTCATCGAAGAAGACAATCGAGGGTGCCACTTGGCGAGCCTTGCGGAACACCTCGCGCACCGCCCGCTCCGACTCACCCACCCACATAGAGAAGAGCTCCGGTCCCTTTATCGAAAGGAAGTTCAGCTTGCTTTCGGTGGCCAGGGCCTTGGCAATCATCGTCTTGGAGCAGCCGGGCGGACCAAACATGAGAATGCCACGCGGTGGCTTAATGCCAAGTCGCTGGAACTTCTCCGCATGAAGCAGTGGCCATTCGATAGCCTGTTGCATGGCCAGACGGAGCTCGGACTGGCCGCCAATGTCCGACCACTGGACATTGGGACACTCGATGAGAACTTCGCGCATGGCCGATGGCTTGACGCTGATAAGAGCTTCTTGCAAGTGCCTGAGCTGAAGAGGTTGTGGCTGGGCCTGGAGTATTGCTGTATATACCAGATTCGCCAGATCGGCACCCACATAGCCATGGCTAATGGTGGCAATCTGTCCCACATCTTCGCTACTCAGTTGGTGCTCCACCGATTGAATCAGACATTCGATGATGGCCTGACGTGCCTGCGGACTGGGTACACCCAACTCCAGTTCACTGTCCAGGCGTCCGGCTCTCCGTATACTCGGATGTAGGGCATCAATTTGCGAACTGGTGGCCAGCAGGAAGGTTCGACTGCCCCGCAGCTGTCTGGGACTGCTCAGTTGGTCGAGTAGCCCGAGAAACGCCAGGGAGACACGCTTGACCATATCATTGCTCTCCTGCTTGGGACACAGGTTATGCACATCCTCGATAAGCAGCAGCGTCGGTTGCGGATAATGGGCGTAGGCCCGCTCGAAGATTGCTGCTAGATTTTGTTCTGTTTCACCAAGGAATTTGCTGTACACCTCGCCGCTATTGATACGAATGATTTGAACGTTCCTGTGGCTGCGATCATCAGCCACGGCACTCATGGCCTCCAAGACCATGGACTTGCCGCAGCCAGTGGCGCCATACAGAAGCATGCCTCGAGACACCTTTAGACCTGGGGCACCACAGGGAATATTTTAGGGTCCAGGAGGATATAGGGATCTACTTACCGGCAGGCAATGTCCGAAGGCCCAGAGCATACTCCATGCTCTCCTCCACTAGCTGCAATTGCTTATCCAGTCCTCCAATTTGACATTTTGTAATGCGAAGGGGTCTAGTCTGTTCCTCCAGTTGCTGCTCTTCCTCCTGGGGTATCAATTGCAATCTGGTAACATTGGTCACCTGAACGAATTGCCGTGGCTTGGCCTCCAGGCTGAGACTAGCCAGTGCGTCCTCCACTGCCCCCTGCCAACTCTCCAGGCGAAATGTCAGCGACTTGTTGAAGAAATTGAAATGAATTTTAGTTCCCTGGCAGTAGATTTGGTTGACCATGGCCCGCTGGAGCAAGGCGGTGGCATCCTTAAGCTGTGCAGACTTCAGACGCGTTTCACTAATCTGCCTCAGGGAGATGCTGCCCGCGGCTGTTAGACATTTGGTGTCCAATGCACTGATCTTCAGCAGCTTGCCACGCATATTCGTCCAATTCGATTTGTAATCTTAAAGAATGAAGCGATAAATGTACTAGTGCTAGTGTACAATCTTAGACTTCGGATTCCTACCGCTTTCTGCCACAAAAACCGTGGTGAGGAACTGCTCCGATACGGGCCACACTATCCGCACCAGCGGCTCTTGTGCTGTTGATTCAATAACCACGTGTTGGCCAATGTGTAGCTGGGAGAGCCGCATGGCACCCTCCGATACGAACACCAGCATGTTTGCATACTTGGCAGGCAAATCCTTCAAGGATTCTACTTCAAAATTGCGCTGCTGCAGGCTCCTCGTGTATAGAGATCCATTCCGCACATACTCCTCGTCGGAGTCCGCATCAATATTACTTTCACCGGATATGGGACAGCTGCCATCGTGATTGTCGCGTGCCTTGGACGTAATGTGTACTCCACAGGTCTCGCAGTGGTACCAACTGGCCTGGTTTTTCTTGCTACTCGATTTCGGCGGCATTCTGCTTTTGTTTTGTTTTGTTTTTCCTCCCACACACGCGCGCGTGAATTAGTCTTATCGATAAAATATATCGTCTGACTAACAATGAAATATACCGAAAAATACCGCGGAGTGCGACCACTGGGATTTACATACATGGCTTGTGACTCACGCAGACTTTGAAAAGAAGTGCAAGGCACAGAGCGAGTTGCAAAACATCCAATGAGTAGCGAAGCCTCATCACTGCAGATGGACCAGACGCAGGCAGCCAGCATGCCAGTAGCTGGACCCAGCCTGGCCCCGCCCGTCACACTGGCGGCGCCCTTGACGAATACAGACTTCTACATAGGAGTGGGCCTGGCTATTTCGTCCTGCTTCTTTATCGGCTCCAGCTTCATTATCAAGAAGAAAGCCCTCATTCGACTGAGTAGGTATGGAGAAGTGCGGGCGTCGGCTGGCGGATTTGGCTACCTACGCGAGTGGATCTGGTGGGCGGGGCTGCTGACAAGTGAGTAGAGACAAACACATTTGCTTATCCCAGAATTCCATTGTCTTTTATCATCATTGTCTTTGCAGTGGGCCTGGGTGAGGCGGCTAACTTTGCCGCCTACGCCTTTGCGCCCGCTTCCCTGGTGACCCCCCTGGGGGCACTGAGTGTGATTATTTCGTCGGTGATGGCCTCCAGGTTTCTCAACGAGAAACTGAATCTGCTGGGGAAAATTGGCTGCTTTCTATGCATACTCGGGTCTACTATTATAGTGATACACTCGCCCAAGGAGAAGGAGGTGGAGGACCTGCAACTGCTCTTCGACATGCTGCAGGATCCAGTGTTCATTTTGTATGTGATCTGCATCATTGGCTCCACTGCCTTTGTGGCCTGCTTTATCGCCCCACGACATGGCCATACGAACGTTGTGGTTTACATATTTTTGTGCTCGGGCATTGGCTCGTTGACCGTCATGTCCTGCAAGGCTCTCGGTCTGGCCATTCGACAGACCCTGGACAACGGTGGCAATGTCTTTCTCACCTGGATGCCGTGGTTCCTGATTGTCATCACCGTCACCTTCATTGCCATTCAGATGAACTATCTGAACAAGGCGCTGGACATTTTCAATACCAGCATCGTAACGCCCGTCTATTATGTGATGTTCACGACTCTAGTGATAACCGCCTCGGCAATACTTTTCAAGGAGTTTACCCACATGCGGTTCGACGACATCCTCGGAGATGTGTGCGGCTTTCTTATAGTCATTACCGCCGTATTCCTGCTGAACGCCTTCAGGGATATCGATATAACGTTTAACGATGTGCGGGGCTTGATGCGACCCAAGATGCAGAGAGTTTCCCAGTACGACGACGAGGTTTTGGTAACCACCAACATTAAGGAGCGGCGCCTCTCATACGGATCCGGTGATGTCTTCCGCAAGGCATGACATAAGCAACGTTATCAGGTTTAGTTTTATCCCACGCAGCGGACAACCTGAAGAAAATGCAAAGTTTTAGACGAAGCTTTGACCAAAAAAAAATTACGCATATCACTTGCCCATCATCACACCACACACACATCCCACATACATATATTGTTCCTTTGTCCTTGTTATCCCCACAATCCAAACGATAGAGTAAGAACTAGTTTAGGCATATAACTTAATTAAAACGATTTAATCTCCCAAACTCACTGTGTATTCTCTTCAACTTTTCTTAGGAATTTGTGTCGGATACAAATCAAGACTTTTAAATTTAATCGGTATCGATAGGCTTTTGTTTCCCTGTGAATAGCAGAATTGCCATTTCTTTTTTTGAAAACTTAAATGTGCAAAAATACTTTTGTTTCTTAACATTTCGTTGAATAATTTGGTTGAAAAATGAGTCTCTTGCGCTTGAAGCTGTTGCGCAACATCCAAACATGCGCCATTGGACCGCACTGGAGCGATTTTCTGAAGGCCTCCTCCGCTGTGAATGTCAACTTTACCTTAGCACCGGCCGCCATTAGAACAGCCACAACATTTGCCGAAAAAGAATATCGTCTGCGTATCGTCGGTCATTTGTCTTCTGCATTTAATTTACGCAAGTATTCGTGTGGATCGATAAGAAAAACCATGGAAGAGAACTGCGTGGTACCCGATGTCATTGCCAAGGCACCAAAGGCCACCGCAACTGTGCAATATCCGTGCGACATTGTCGTGAAGCCCGGCATGGTGCTGACGCCAACACAGGTGAAGGATCAGCCGTGCGTGAAGTGGGATGCCGATGCCAGCAAGCTGTACACCTTGTGCATGACCGACCCGGACGCACCCAGCCGCAAAGATCCCAAGTTCCGCGAGTGGCACCACTGGCTGGTGGGCAACATTCCCGGCGGCGACATTGCCAAGGGCGAGGTCCTGTCCGCCTACGTTGGCTCGGGACCCCCGCCAGACACTGGCTTGCATCGCTACGTGTTCCTCATTTACGAGCAGAAGTGCAAGCTCGACTTCGACGAGAAGCGTTTGCCCAACAACAGCGGCGATGGACGCGGCGGCTTCAAGATTTCCAAATTCGCCGAGAAGTACAATCTGGGCGACCCGGTGGCCGGCAATCTGTACCAGGCCGAGTACGATGACTATGTGCCCATTCTGTACAAGCAGTTGGGTGCCTAAATCCGCTAAACTATGTCTGCGAATCAAGTAAAAATACATATACATATATGAGAATTATATAATTGAAGTAGTCGTACATTTGGATACATTACACAAATTGAAAATTTCCTGTACGTAATCCCTTAAAAGACACACATATTGTGAATAGAATACCATGTAAAACCTTGTGGCTGGCAATAAAATTGTTAAATACATCGACTGCTAATTTGAACAGCGTTTCAGGGGAGATTAGAACGGTTTTTATATCAGAAGAATTGTGCAAGAATTAACATTAGAAAATAGCTAGCGGTCGCGGTTTTATTGTTATGTTTTTCCGGCAAGGACCGTGGCTCACAACGTTCCCGCTTATTTTTTCTACTATCGGGGGCATTCTCGTTTGTATTATTCACTTGTGATTCTCGAACCAAGCATACATTTGCCGCGTCTTGGAGCTATTAGGAGCATAAGGCTCATAAGACCAAGATAATTGTGGGTCGGTATTTTATTTGTTCAATCAATCTGATCTAATTACAATCTAACGCCTATTGGTACATAGGATCTTCATCAATACATGTGTGTAAATTTGTTTCGTACAATCTGAAAGCAGGAAAGCAAGGATCTGCTGCTAAGTTAAATGGGAGGATTGGGGATTTAGTAGAATGTTGAGGCTAAAAAGGAGCCGTGATGTGAGGATTGGATCGGATTACTCTAGTTTTGGAAAGAGTGTAGCATGATCCTTCCACTCGGCAGCGCTAATAGACTGCAAAGAATGAAAAAAGCTACCATTAGGATCCGAGTAAATGTTAAATGAAATTTCATTGAATGCGTACCACAAGTTCATCAAAGGCCTGCTTGGCCACCCAATGGAAGCCGGGACTCTTCCATTCACGGGCCGTGGCCTGCTGCAGACGGCTATGCTCCTCCTTGGCCTCGGCATCTGTGGCCGTGGAAGGCTCCGCGACTTCCTTATATTTGGCCCACAGATTGATCATGGTGCGCATCTTGTGTACCCAAAGAGCATTGGGTATGTTGCGTATTATATTCTGTATTTCCTCTTTGTTCGCATCCGTCAGGTTCTCCAAAAACGTTAGATTCATCAGCGTGAAAATCGTCTTCATGGTATCGAACGGCACATCCACATTCTTCTCCAATCCAAAGTGCGCCGACTTGATGACAGCTTCGATCACCTGTTCGGTGGTTAGCTTCGGGAAATTGGGCAAGAAGCTGTGTTCGAGATTGAGATTGCCACAGGCCTTCAACTGCTTGTCAATCTCCTCCCCAAGGGTCTTGTACTCTTTCCACCAACTGGGCCAGTCCATGGTGCTGGTCGACTGATGAACGGACACCAAATCGGTGCGCAGACGTTTCCTGGTACGCTTGTGGATCTTACGCGCAGCCTTGACCGCTTCGTCATCCGAATCCTCATTGATAACGACAGCTGCCTCGGTGAACTCCTCCTCACCGGCGTATGGGTTTGTACTGTAAATGAAGGTCTGCTCAAAGAAGGCCACCGCATACGATTCGTCCTCAAACTGCGGAAGTTTCTTCGGATCCCCATTGAGGAGATATGGCAGCTTGAAGCCGCCCATAAGGAAACCACGCTTACGGGCCACCTTTAGCCACTTTCTCTCAGACTTTGAAAGCGGCGAGCTGACTGCTGCTGGTGCTGCAACTGCTGCTGGGGTAGGACGCTTTTGTCCTGTCCATGAAAAAAAAGTGTTAGTAGGGATACTGCAGTTGAAAAGGAAGGGCTTACCAGGTCGTGGTGCTGCACCAGCGACGGTCTGACCCTTTGGTTGGGCATTGTTGACCACTGGGGGCCTGGGTTTGCCAGGATTGAGTGCTGGCCCAGCGTTCCTGGCTCTGACTGGAAGCGGATTCCTACTGGCATTGACAGCGTTCTGTGGCCGGCCTTGATTCGGCCCGACATTGTTTGGCTTCCTTTGATTGGGTCCGACGTTCTTTACCTTCATTTGATTGCCCACAACATTGCTCAGGGTCTGCAATGTTCCAACAATGCGTGCGACGGCATTGCGTGCATTGAGGCCGGGACCCAGAGCGTTCCTTGGATTGGGTCCGGGACCGCCGGCATTCCGTGGATTGGCTCCGGGTCCGCCGGCGATGCGTGCATTGCCACCGGCACCGACAGCATTCCGTACTGCTGGATTTCTAGTCGCATTGGACGTGATCAAGGCCACCGTTTTTGGATTTGCTCGAATACCTTGAATATTTTTTATTGCTGGTGCCGGGACCGGTTTGCGGACGACGCCGCCGTTGTTTAGGTTCTTTTTGGGTGGATTCTGATTCCGCTTCGAGTTGTAGGCCCGCTGGCTGGCCTCCCAGGCAGACAGATTACCATTGCCGTTGCCGTTGCCGTTTCCATTGCCATTTCCGTTGCCAGCCGACTGATATCCAGAGTCTTGCAATGAAGACGATTGCTGCGTATTGGAGTTGTTCCAAGAGTTGTTCCGGGCGTTGCCGTCGTTGAAGTTGCGCCGATCGTTCTGGGCAAAGTTACGGCTGTTGTTGTTGCCAAAATTGCCACCAGATGGACCGACATTATTCATGCCAATATTGTTGTTAAAGCCGCCAGGAGGTCCAAAGTCGTTGGAGCCAGAGTTTCCGTAATTATTGCCACGGAAATTGTCATTAAAATTGCCGCCGCCTCCGGCACCGCCATAAGAGTCGGCATTATTAAAGTTGGAGGAGCGCTGATCCCCAAAGTTTTGCGACCTGGGGCCGCCGCGATAATTATCAATAAAGTTGGACACATCGTCCGAGGGTCCGCCAACGTTATTGGAACGACTCTGGTTCCGTGGGGCATCATTGAAGTAACGCCCATTGTTGTCGCCGAAGTTGGTGTTCGACTGTGGGCCACGATAGTTGTTGTCGAAGTTACGGAAATCGGAATTGAAATTAGAACTCACCGAATTCCGGTTGCCAAAACTTGGGGAATCATTGTTGTCGGTACGACCAAAGTTCCCAAAATTGCTCGGCAGGTCCCGGGAAATTCCCAAATTTCCCGATGAGCCGCCACCACGGAAATTGTCGTCAAAGTCTCGTCGCTGCTGGCTATCGCCAAAGCTATCATTGGAATTGATATAGCGCTGATTCTGGTTGTTGTTATTGTTGTTGGAATTGAAGTTGGAGCGGTTTTCTAGGCCCCGCAAATAGCTATTCGAGGCGGCATCTCGCGAGATCATCTCCAAGTCCCGCTGGCGATTGTTGTCGTTGTAGGAAAAATTGTTTTCGTTTGTGGAACGATTACGATTAAAGTTTCCCCCCATATCTGGGCTCGAGTTCCTGTTACCAAATCCTTGATTATGGCCGCGGTCCAGCTGCATGTTGTTGGTGTTGCTGTTGTTGTAGCTGAAGCCACCACCATCGTTGCCGAAGTTTGGCGCATAAAATGCGGCACCCAGGCCAGAGCCAGAGCCGATTGAGTTACCGATTCCCAAACGACGCTGGCCGATGCCATAAACGTCATTCTTGTTGCGAAAGTCCATTGCTCCACGAATTTTCTTTAGCCAGATAACACTATGATGCTACCAATTGTTTAATATACGAGTTAATTTTTCTAATTGTTTGGCCTCAAAAAACTTTTCACCAAATTTTTCACAATCGTCTGCCAGGGATGCAATACCGGCAATACAAGCAATACATCCAGAATCAAAATGGACTTTCTGGTATTTTATAGATGTGAGTTCTAGTATTTTCTGATGGAAATTCAACTGAGACATTTGGGATTTTTACGCTAGGGCTGCAAAACCATCTATTGTCTATATATCGTAATGCATAATAGAGTGTATATAATATATGGAGTACTTTTTGCTTAAGCTTGCATTTTCGTTTTTGTTTTTCTCCAACAAAATTGTAAAAATTTGTCTGTGGTTTTGTGGTTGGTTTTTGTTAAAAGATATTTTTAATAATTTTCTATACATTTTTGGTCTGAAACGATATATCGACGTCGAAAACAGCCTCGATCAATCGCACAACTTCCAACACCAAATAGTACTTCAAAATAAACAAAATATATAGGCCGATGCAATCACAGCTTGCAGGATACAGATCCACTCAAATACTTGTAGGCAGATAGGTAATATGTTTTTTTTTTATTACCTTATGTTCGATGGAAATGTTGATATATCGACCGTCGATGGTTTTGCAGCCCTAGTGTAGAAAATGGAAACATCGGAAAATACTAGAGCTCCATAAAATACCAGATAGGCCATTTTGACTGTGTTTGTGTGTGTGTACCAATTAACCACCAACACAAATTTGTTGTTCTGTTTTTCAGATTAGATTTGTATTAAAGTGTAGTGGCCTACGACCACTGCTTCATTGATGATTTGTGTTTAAGAATGCAGATCAATAATAAGTAATTTTGTAGGCAAATTTATAAATTTCTATTAATTTACTATGATTTATTGCGCGTTAGAGGTTAATATGGAGTGGAGCAATAATTTAACAAATCTACTACTGCATCGTGTATTCAGCTTAGTAATAATATAAGAAACAAATTTAGCTGGCGAAAAAAGGGATGATTTTCGTATGGGAAACGATTAGAAATTGTGCTGGCTTTTTGTCCGCGAAATTTGTAGCCTGGCGAATTCTTGCGACTTAGTACTCAGAAAAGATAAATCGCACTATATAAACATATAAACATTTGTCATATTTACATATAATAAACTGCAAATTTGTTAGGTATATTTGCACATATTTTTATCTGAAAAATAATAAGCACGTAGTTACCAAATCGACCCGTATTGTGTCTCGACGGCTCTTCCCTCGTTCATCTTTGACCTTCCCGTGGGAAATCAACACCTCAGAAAGTTCCATGGGAATATTCCTATTTAATGGCGCGATCTTTTTGTGCTCCTTTGTTAACATCAACTATTTTTCTCTAATTTCGATCAACTGTTTCAAAACTGCTGGTAAAGTGACACATGATATTTAGCGATTATATCAGTAAAATAATAGCTATAATTTGTGTATTCAAAAAACTATATTTAGAGGAGCTTTTTCCGAAATATATACCAAAAAGGTTTAACAGCTTGGTTACATTTTCGAAATGAAACAATTTATTTATTAACATTATGAATATATAAGGCGAACATGAGTTTTCTATGGTTTATTATTGACTGTAAACAGGAATGCGGACTTGTAGCATCTGAAAGATAGTTACATTTTAGATTATATAAAGCAGTTTTTCGGTATAACTAGGAAATCATGTCTATTCACCTTGCTGGTCTTGTCGAACAGGGCACGGGCACGATCCTGTTGCAGACGATAATTGACAAATTTGTCAAAGATATAGCCGTGTTTTCGGGACTCGACCAAGATGCGATCCTCACCAACATCCAGGTTTATCTCGTGCGAGGAGACCTTTCGAATCGAAGAGACTTATCGTCAATATACATCATCATACAATATTATATGGTAAAAAGCTACATACACAATTCGGTAGGTAGATCTCGGCTTGGATTTCATGAACAGCATCAGCGCGGATCTGGGCACGTAGCTTGTACTGCAGCTCCGCCGTCTGGCGGATCTTCCTGATGGCAGCCGCATACTTGTCATCGATCTCCTGCACCAATTTCGAAGGCGCCTTCTGATCCTTGCCGGCTTCAATAGCGGCAAGTTTACCGGACAGGGATTGGACATGTTTCACATCAGCGTTGCGCACTCGATGCGAGACCAGGGTGCCCACAAACTTGCGATTGTTCAGGGTGATGATCTTTTCCATGGATATCTGTACGTTGTACTTCTCGCTGAGTGCCTCTGCGGCCAGCTGCTGAAAGAAGTTCTTGAAAAGCTGCGATTTCTGTATCTTGACCAAAAACTGTGGATTGATGGCAATGTCGCAGACATCGACGGTCTTGTCTGACCGATCCTTGGTGTGTCGCGGATCGGAGATGCTCATGGGCACACGAAACGAGCCCGGTGTCGGTGATTCCAGTATGGCAATCAGCTCCTCCTCGGTGACATCTTCGGGTGCTGGCACCTCCGAGGCCTGGCACACATTGATGAAGAACTTCTCAGTGCTGTTCACCTTGAAGCTCTTCATACAGAATCCTGACGAAAGCAAGATGGGACATTAGTGGTTTAATCGAAGGGGATATTACAGATATTATCTATTGGTTATTGGTTATTTGGTATGCACACTGCACATGAGTCAAGGTGGAGGGGAATTTTTATTCAGTTCTAATTCAATTTACAAATCGATTCTACGAGTATATAAAAATCTATGTGCATTTTAAAGGATAGGGGTATCTGCCATATCGTTTATTTCTTCATTGGCTTCTTTATGCCCGGATAGAGACGATTATGATCCGGCCAAGAGATTTCACTGATTGCCTGTGGGGTACATCGATAGAAAATAAATATCAGTTTGATTGGGGAATACTTTTTACTTTTTGGAACATACGTGGAGCTCATCAAAGGCCTGCTTGGCCAGCCAGTGGAACATGGGTGTCTTCCATTTTCTGGCATATGCATTGTGTATTGCTTTTCTTAAAGTTTTTGGAGGGTCCTTCAAGATTTCATGATATTTCGACCACATATAGACCATGCTACGGAGCTTGTACAGCCACAAATGGTTGGGCACACGCCGTATCAAGTTCTCCAGCTGCTCAATATTCTCCATCTTTAGATTTTGGAGGAAAGTACTGTCCATCAGCAAGAAAATGGCCCGCATGTTGCGCTGCACATTGAATGTGTTCTTCTCCAGTGCCACGTGTCCCAATTTTAAGACCGTGTTGACCACTTGCTCGGTGGTGTATCTTTTGTAGATTGGTATGAAGCGATGCTGCAGATTCCGGTTCTCGAATTTCTCCAGCACTTTGTTGATCTCGTTCCCACACCACTTGTAATCCGTCCACCAGCAGTCCCAGTCTTTGTAGCTCTTCGTACGATACAAAGCGGTCCATTCCTTGCGCATCCGATTGAGTTTTTGTTTTTTACCATATTGCCTGCCCCCGCCTCTTGTGTTTTCGGGCAACTCCAGTGAATCGGTGTCCGAGCTATCATCGTCCTCGTGGCCCTGCACAACTTTGCCATCCTCGTTGGCATAGACGTTCGTGTTGTAGTTGGGTGTTTGCTCGAAGAAGGTCACAGCATAGGACTCCGCCTCCTCCTGCGGCAACACTTGATCGAATGCGACATAGGGCAGCTTTCTGCCGCCGATAAGGAAACGCTTACCCTTGATGACTTTGCGTCGCTTGACCTCGCCACCAACGGGCAGCGCTTCCTCAGCGGTGCGCTTTTGTCCTGTAAAATGATGGGAAAACCCGGTGTTATATTCTGCAGACATATTCTACCCGAGGCGGAGGATGCAAGTCGGTTCGGTTCGTATCAGGGATAATCCAAATGGATTGGGAATAGGGAATTACTCCCTTGAAGAGCAGCTTCATATCTATTTAGCAGCTTTTTAACCCTTTAGGCGATGGAAGGAAACGATGGAAGGATTGAGCGAATGAGTGCCCCTTAAAGAGACATCAAAAGAAAAATACTTGTGCTCTTTAGAAAAGTTTGTTAACCAATTTGATTGTCTTCGAACCGTTTAAGGATTGAGTTGAGCTACAGCTCAAGGCTCCCCTAAACCGGACTGCATCCCTGCCGCACCTATTAATCATGCATTCTCGCATCATTCATCCCCAGTAAAAGTTTCAAGGGATACTCAACATTTACTGGCGATATCTGAAACGATTCTAGTTTTGGTTTTTTAACCTTACCAGCACGAGGGTTTGCCTCTGGCGGCTTGCCCGGCAATTTCCTGGCCCCTGGAGTGGCGGCGGCTGCTGGCTTCGGGACACCACCAGGATTGGCCAGATTCCTGACTGTCGTGGCCTCCTGGTTTGGGCCAGCCAAAGTGTTCTTGCCCACAGGGTTTCCACCTTTGACTGGTATGGTTGATTGATTTGGTTTTTTCTGATTCGGATTTGGATTTGGACCAGCGGTTGATCTGCCACTTCTGGCTACAGGGTTTGAATTTCTTGGTGGCTTTGCGGCACGATCTGCGGATGAATTTGTTCGGTTTTCATGGGAACCGCCAACATTGGCATTCCGCGTAGCCTCTCGTGGTTGATTGGAACGGTTTGCATTCCTGGCTGTGTTGCGTTCTTGATTGTGAGCATTTGGGTTGCGGTAACCACTGCCAGAGCGATCATTACGACGATCCATAGGACGACGTTGGTCTCCTCTGTCTTGATAGTCGATATCAACATTGACTTGATAATGATTTGGTTGGAAATCGTCACGGAAACTGTCAAACTCTCGCTGTGGAATCTGATTGAAATCGCCATCAAACTGGCGCCGCTGCTGATCGAAGTCGCCATCGTTCTCAAAGCGGTGATCGCCACCGAACTGAATTTGATTGGATTGAAAGGGTCCAGGTCCAGAGTCATTAAACATCATCTGATCACGACAATTGTCGTCGTCAACGAAGCGATCATTACGATCGATACGATCAATACGATCGCGTCCGTGTGCATTACGATCATCGTTGTTCAAATTGAAACGAAGCTCTCTGTTGTTCGGATCGTTGTTCAAATTGAAACGCAGATCTCTGTTGTTCGGATCGTTGCGCTCTAAGCTGCGATCAAAGTGATGAGAGCGCTCCGGCTCGCTGTTGTAGAAACGCCAATTTTCGTTCCGCTGTTCCTGTGGACGTCCAAAATTATCCGCCTGCTGCTGTCCACGAATTCGTTCTTCGTCCATAAACTGCCGGCCATCTCTGTCATCGTTGAAACGTGGAGCATCCCCAAGATCACGACAGTTGCCCTCAAAGCGGCGATCATTCGGACCAAAGTTATCTGGACTACGATCGCAAAAGTTGCCATCGAAATTGCGTTCGTTGTGATCGACCAAATCCGTACGTAGAATCGTTACTTGATCGTTGTGGAAAAAACGCTGGTAGTTGTTCCCAATTTGGGGGCGTCCCCCCATTTGTCTTGACTGCTGTTGCTGTCCCCCAAAGTTGGGCTCAGAATCGCAAACTTCTGTGTTTGGATTGCCCATAAAAATGGGTGGCCCCTGTGGACGATCAAAGCCATGCTGCTGGCGCTGAAAGTCGTCGTCGCGATCGATGTTCTGACGTTGGTTGACCAAAAAGGCATCAGGGCCAGGTCCGCGATTGGCGTCGTTGAAGCGTGGATCATTGAAGTCCGGCTGGCCGCAAAACTCTGCATCCATGCCACGATTGTTGATCTCAAAATTCTCATTACGATTGTTCGGAAAGCGATCTGGGTGATTATTCGGATAGGAATCATTGCGAGCGCCGTCGAAGTGGGGGGGACTGCACACATGGCTGGACATCTCCGTCAGATCTATACGTTCGACAAATCCTTGACTGTTGTCCCGACGTCCGGGTGGGCCTGGCTGCCTACGACCTGGAGGCACATGTGCCAGGCGACCTGTGACAGGCTCTACGCGACCGGGTGGGCCTGCACTATTGTTCCTGCGATTGGGGGGATTATTCTTTCCGCGAACTGGGGGACCAGCAGGTTTTCCGGGACTTGGAGGGCCGCGACCTGCGACAGGCTCTACGCGGCCGTGTGGGCCAGGTTTTCCGCGTACTGGTGGCAGTACCGCACTGGGACCTTGTGGAACAACCTGCTTCCGGCCTACTTGTGGGACAGGGTCAATGTGAACTGGCGGTACAGTCTTTCTGGGACCTGCTGCAGCAATCGGCTGGCCACGAGGAGGTATTGAGTCCATGGGAACTGTTGGGATTGCCGCGCCGGGACCTGGTGGTGCTCTGCGCCCCGATGGTACATTCTCTCTGGCACCAGAAGCATTCCGGCGTGTTGGTGGTACAATATCTCTGTGAGCAGGTGGAACAGCGTCGCTGCGATTATTCCTGCGTGCTGCTGGAACGTTGTCTCTGGGCCCCGAAGGAGCAGCATCTCTGCGACCTTGTGGAACATTCTCTCTGGGACCGGGTTGAACATCATTTCTGGTACCAGAAGGAACAGCTTCTCTGCGTCCAGGTTGGGCTTCATTGCGGCGTACTATTGGTGTATTTGCAGATGGAATAGCATCTCTGTGACCACCCCTGCGAGCTGGTGAAATATTGTCCCTAGGACCAAAAGGAACAGCATCTCTGCGTCCTGGTGATACATTATTCCTGCGACCTTGTGGAACGTTTATTCTTGGAGAAGGTGGACAATCATTCCTGCGACCATGTGGAACCGGTGGACTATCATTCCTGCGTCCTTGTGGAGCAACATCTCTGCGCCCTGGCGGGAAATTGTCATCCCGGCGGCCTGCCGGTGGCACATCATTCCTGCGACCTGGGGGTGGGCCAGCCTCTATTGGGCCTGATGGAAGGATCTCCCTGAGACCTGGTGCGCCCCTGGGACGGCCCCGAATATTATCATCGACATCTCGTGTGCGTGGACGTGATCGTTCAATCTGCTGCGGCGATATGTCGCGATTGTTGTGCCAGTTGATGTTGCGCGGCGGCGACGGTGTGCGTGGACGTGGACGACTCTGGATTCGATTCTGTTCGGACTTCTCCACCAGAGTGCCGATCGACTGAAGCACAACGGCATCAATTTCGGGCTGTGACTGTCGGTCGCCCAGTTCGACGCTCAAGCGATAGCGGCGCCGCTGGAAGTGGCGTAGATCGAAATTGGGCACCTCTAGGGTGCGCATGGCCAGGGCGTGTGCCACTGCCGGACTGGCGCCCAACTGGCGCAGGAACTGGCGACGACTGTCCAGCTCATTGCCGTCTATGTAAAAGTGTAGAGGGAGGGAAGGAAGAACTCTGGTTAAGACTAGTCACTGGGGTCTACTCCGGTCTACTCATTCAACGTTTCAATCAATAATTCAATTAAATGTAAATAAAATATAGTAAGCAAAACACTACAAAGCAAACAATTACAAATACACCAAATATACCCATTAAATCCGCCAATTTTGGGCGGCTGCCGCCCCACACAACCCTCTTTGAAGTAGATTTGTTTGTGGTTTTTAAGAGTCGGCAGCTCTTTCGGGCCTAAACTATTTCATCACATCTGGAAGTGTCTATTTGTGTGTATGTAGTATGTTGTTCACTCAATTCGAGAGGTACTGATTTATATTAAGAGATGGAGAGAGAAGAGAGAGAGAGAGAGAGAGTGTAGCCGGGCCGGCGTTATCTCTTGCCCATCGGCCATGACGGGGCATATACACAGTTAATCCCGGGTTTGCAGTGTGACCAGCTTTCACGCTTTTAACTGTAATTTCAAGCCGAGTTTTACATCTTTTTAATTGATCAAAGTCTGAGAGAGTGCGACGAGCACGCCGCTCCCTCTGTCTCTCTTGGCACCCGATATCTATCGCTGAGTTTTGTCTTCGGTTTCGTTTTTGTTTTACCCATATCTCTGCTCTCTCTTTATGGGGTTTATCTCTCTCTCGCGCTATAGGGAGGCTAGTATATGGGCGCTCTCCTTTGCGTGTGCTTTCGTACACTGAAATGCCAAACAAATAAGTTTGTCCGCAACGTTTGGCTGGCATTCAGTTAACTTTTCAGCTGGTTGCGAGCCGGTTCAGTTTCCGTTCATTGTGTGCCCCGCCTTTCATACTATTCGATTCTTCTCCCCCGCCGTATACGCAGAGGTAATTATAAGTGACATTTTGGTCGCATCGCATTGATTCTCTTGTACGTCCGTCCGTCCGCGAGGCGTAACAAGTGTGTGCGTGGTTTTTGTCGGCTGGTGCGTGAGTTTCGTTTCTATAAATTGTGAAATTATTTAAAACGTTTTCCCGCGCTCAAACATTTCTCCCGTTTTGGGGCCACAGCGGGTGAATCACGTACCAAATTGTTTGATAACAACAATTAGTGTTTGGTCATGCTTCAGGCGCAATTGTTTAATTGATACAAAAAAATTACAAAAATAATTAAATTGATATCGGCGAGGTTATTCGAATGAAATTACATAGTACAAATGGAGAAAATTTAATAGCTATGGCTAGATTTTTTGTAATTCGTGGTTGACGTCATGGGCAAACGCGTTTTTTACAGGCCTTGGAACCGATGGTATCTTTAGTAGCTTCGACAGATTCTGCTGGAGGCCGTGATAATCGGAATGGAAATTATATTGTTGTTGTTCGTAGAAGAGGAACAACAAACTAGAGCAAGTGTGAAGGCGATAAGAAACACGACAAGGATTATAAAGTGCAATTCAAAACTAGAGAGAGAGAGAGAGAGAGACTCTGAGTTCGCGTGGAGTGTGCTCCCAAAGAAGCATCGAGTATAAAAGCGCGATAAGAAGCCATTTCGTGACCAAAAACATATATAGATAGCGGGGAAACTGGTAAAAACAGTGAGCAATCGGGAAGAGGACTTCTTGAGGGCCAGGAAGATACTGCGATCCGCTTATCGCTTCGATCACAGACAAACACCGTCAAGTGCCCATAAATATTGTATATCAAGTAGCGTTGTTGACTAAAAAAGATGATGCAAGTGTACCTGTAAACAATATATCATATTCACCGGCTGAAAAGCAAACAAAATCAATACACAGCACGAAAATTGAGTTAAAATTTGCATTAAACAAGGAAGAGCCAGTGCTTTTATCAGACGACTCTTCGCGGGGGAGGTCAACCCAGCATCTCATCATGACAGTGCACAATTTCGTTAGATAAATTTCTTTAGGGAAAGCGAAAACATATGAAATTGTACATTTTTATCAAAAGAAGGGCAACAAAATGTATTTTGCTTATAAAATTATATAATTGCCTGTTGGAGAGGGGGAACAGGTTTTCGCTGCTAATTATATCAAAAATCTAATACTCGTTTTCAGCGGCTAGAATTTTATCTAAAGCCGAACGCTTAAAACACGCGTTGACGCGGCAAACAAGTTTTTAGCGCCCATAAAATGTTACTAACTCGCACACAGCCGCCTCAGACACCTTAAACTTCTCCTCCGGGGGTTTCGTGTGGTGGTCGCTCCAAGATTAGCCATTGTGTTTTGGGGAAAAACTAGTTTTTTGTTGCATATTCGTCATTGACAGTGACATAAAAAACTGTCGGCAACAGTGGAGTGGGAGGTGAGACCTTCACGACGGATTTCCCATTCCATTATCAACAAAAAAAGAAGATTACAAGATTATACCAAGTGGTGTGGTTCTTAACTAAACAGCCACTAAAGTGGACACATTTGGCCTGGGCTTTGTACAACTTAGCGCGCATTCACTGTTCTATTGTTAGGGGTACCGCGCGCGCAATCGATAGCGACAGGAGGGTGAAAGATGTCTATCTGAGAGACATGATTTCGCACTCGTAGAGATTAGCCCCACGGCCAGGTGTTAGATAAAGAGTAATTGTTCCCAATTAAACTGGTGTCATGCCTGGCCGGCAAGAATTTCGCACATTCTTGGGCTTCCACCGCCGGAAGGGAACTCTCCGGCCGGCAAGTCGGTCGGGCCGGGTCCACCACTCACCTGGTGTGGGTTGCACAATCAAAGCGTCCCGCGGTGGCGCCTGCTGCTGCTGCTGTATATTGCCAGATGGGTTGGCGCCCCCAAAGAACTGGTTAACATTATCCTCAAATTCATTCTGTGGACAAAGAAAACCGAGAGTTTAAATATTTTTGGCACGAAAAAAAAACCTTGTCTTCTTCTTCGCTGCGGTGTTTTTGGCTTACCCGAACAAAACGTAGATTCTGCTCGCGAAAACTGTCGCTGCCATCAATAAAATTAGTGCGGCGTGCCATGATTTTATTTTACTAAAGCTCGCTCGCTTAAATTAAAATCTAAATAATAAAGCGTAAAGTAACTTTGATTGTTTTTTACATGCACAATTTTTCCAAATTTAGAGCAGAGCTGGCAACTTGTCACAATTGAAGAAAGTGTGACCGTATGTGAATAGGGTAATAATGCCATATGTTGCCATCACTGTTGCCAAATTAGAGATTTTTTAGCTAGTTCTGGATATTATAATTCGGGCTATCTGAAAGACATATATATTTAGCTATGTTTCGGGATTTATTAAACAAAACTGTGTCCAACTGTGTCCGTGGGAATATACAAAAAAAAACCCCGAGACTGCCACAGCTATAAATGCTGCCACAACTATGAGGTGCTCTTAGAGGATAGTTTCTTAAAATTGGTGCAATGCGCTATATGAAATAGTTGTAAATGTATGAGAAAGCTACTTTTTTAAATCAGCTATTTGTTCTTCTTAAAATGTGTCAGCCCTGGTTACCATAGAAAATAATATACCAGCCGAAAAATACCAACAGCTAATTGTTGTTGTGCCGCTTGAGAACGGAACAGCTGGCTAAATTTGTTTTTTTTCTTTCTCTTATTATAGTTACGTCCCTAATCCCAAAAATTCTCACAAGAGGTGCACGTGGTGTAGGCACTAGACACGATCAGAAGCCATGGCGGAGGATATAGGTTCGCCGATGGACAGGTTCTGTGGATCCACATTCTGGGTGCGTCATAGATCTGCCGATCAAATTCCAAGAATCAATTAAATATTTCTCAATTGGTGTTGTGTGGTTTTGTAGAACTCCACAGAGACCTGGTATACAAAAAATCCGGACTTTACGCCCTGCTTCGAACAGACGGCCCTCGTGTGGATGCCCTGCGCCTTCTACTGGGCGTTTGTGGTCTTTGATTTCTATTATCTGAAGGCCAGCCTCGACAGAAACATACCATGGAACAAGCTGAGTGTGAGCAAGATGCTGGTGAATCTCGGACTGTTGGTGATCACAGCCCTCGACCTGATCATGGCCCTGGTGAAGAAGGGCGGCGACTCGGAGCTACCACTGTACGACCTTGATGTGTGGGGCCCCATCATCAAGTTTGCCACCTTCCTGCTGATCTTCATCTTCATACCGCTGAATCGGAAGTACGGCGTGCAGACGTCAGGCTGCCAGTTCATTTTCTGGTTCCTTTTGACCGTCCTCTCTATACCGCGCTGCCGCACGGAGGTGCGTGCCGCAGCGGATCGCAGCAAAATCGACGACTCGCAGCAGCCATCCGAATCGGACTTCTCCTGGGAGGAGTACATGTACGTGAGCTTCTTTGTGTCGTTCACGCTCTACTGCTGTATGCTGCTGCTCAATTGCTTCGCCGACGGCCAGCCCACTCAGACCAAGTACCAGCGAGGCGAGAACGAGATACCCGAACTGTCGGCCAGTTTCCTGTCGCGGATCACGTACCAGTGGTTCGATAAGATGGCCCTCAAGGGCTACCGCAATCCGCTGGAGGAGAAGCATCTGTGGGATCTGCGTCCTCAGGACAGCTGCTCCGAGGTGATGCCCATCTTTGCCTATCACTGGAACCAGAATGTGCGCAAAAACTACAAGGGCCGCTCCAAGGCGGAGCCCAAGGCGCAGTTCAGTAATGGCAATGTGACGTTCGAGAATCCGCATGGAGAGAAGACTGGACGCAAGAAGGGCATGGCCAGTATTATGCCGCCAATTTACAAGTCCTTTGGTGGCGTCTTCCTGTTCGGAGCCCTCATGAAGCTCATCACCGACACCCTGACATTTGCCCAGCCGCAGGTGCTTAGTCTGATCATTGGCTTTGTGGAGGACCAGAGGACCGATCCCCAGCCCGAATGGAAGGGCATCCTGTTCTCCGTTACGCTCTTCGTCCTGGCTGCCGCCCAGACCTTCATTCTTGGCCAATACTTCCATCGCATGTTCATTGTTGGACTGCGCATTCGCACGGCTCTCATCAATGCCATCTATCGCAAGGCCCTGCGCATCTCCAATGCCACCAAAAAGGAGTCCACTGTCGGCGAGATTGTCAACCTGATGGCCGTGGATGCTCAGCGTTTCATGGAGTTGACCACGTACCTGAACATGATCTGGTCGGCGCCCCTGCAAATCGGTTTGGCTCTGTATTTCCTGTGGCAGCAATTGGGCCCGTCTGTGCTCGCCGGTCTGGCTGTGATGATCATACTCATTCCGGTGAATGGCGTGATTGCCAGTCGCATCAAGACCTATCAGATACGTCAAATGAAGTACAAGGACGAGCGCGTCAAGCTGATGAATGAGGTTTTGAGTGGCATTAAGGTGAGTCCGAGTCCCAGTGCTATATAAAGATATATCTCTAACGTTGTGTATTCCTGAATGAAGGTCCTCAAGCTGTATGCCTGGGAGCCGAGCTTTGAGAAGCAAGTGCTGGACATACGTGACAAGGAGATAGCCACTCTACGATCGACGGCCTATCTGAATGCTAGCACATCCTTCCTCTGGTCATGTGCCCCCTTCCTGGTAAGATATGCGCCCCGTACCCGACGGGCCACACTTTGAAATCTCGTTACAGCAGCAGCCAGTGCGCCGCCGGTCAATTGTTGGACTTGGACTAATCTTGGAACTATCCGAATGTGTCTATATACAATATCTAAAAAACAAAAGGTTTCCCTGGTCACATTTGCCACTTACGTGTTGACCAGCGAGGCGAATCAGCTGAGCGTCGAAAAAGTGTTTGTCAGTCTCGCATTATTCGACATCATGAAAATCCCGCTGACCGTCTTGCCTATGCTGACTGTTGACATAGCCGAGGTAAAGGCTATGATGATGATATGATGATGAAGGAAGCGGCACGAACATCTTTTCCTAATCTTCGGCTATGGTGCATACAATCGACTCCAAATCCATACCAAAAAAACCAACCAACCAAAATCAAAACTTATGAATTCAAATGCAAATCCTTTAAACAATCTCGTGTATTATCTTTTAGGTTTCATTAGTCACATTTGCCACTTACGTTCTAATCGATGAAAATAATGTGCTTGATGCCACCAAAACCTTTGTCTCATTATCATTATTCAACATTCTTCGTTTTCCGCTAACAATGTTGCCCATGCTGATCACCAACCTGGTGCAAGTAAGTTTAATCCCAATTGCAATATCGCCTAATCCGATCACAGCGGTGGCCCCCATGGATGGGATGGGTTTCCACAACACTTTGATCTCCCTCCCCGGGCCACCATTGTGATCGATTCGACTACTGTGCCGTTCTTGTGATTGTGATTTATGTTTATTTTACTGAATTTGATTTCTTTTTTTAGCCGAAAACAAATTTACATACCCCAACGTACACTCCTCTCACCACTGATCCGATCCTGAGATCCCTAGATCCTCAAACCGTTTTCTAAAGCTCCTATTTCATCTTATTCATTCTCTGGGATTCACAATTGTCCGAAACAAACCAATTCCGATTTTCCACATACTTTTTCTGGTTGTGGGTCTCTGCCTTTTTCATTGGAATTTGAGTTTTATGGGTTTTTTTCTGATATCTCTTGCAGGTTGTGGGTAGTATTTCTAGGGGAAGGGAATATTTGATTAGGCATGATTGTCCGTTCATTTATTCTATTAAATCTTACCGGAAATTTAATTCCCATTATCGTAAAGGAATGAACTGGGAAGCAGGGAAACAAAACCCCTATCAGCTAAACTCGAGTCTAGCATAAATGTTGTCCCGTCATGTACACGACATGCATGTTGTTTTTAAATTCCTTCGCATTCGCTTGTACCTGTCGAATCGAGCATAATTGAATTGTGTCATTCAAAACAATGTATTTTGTTTTTCTTAACATTCTCGGGAATTCTTTTAGGCACTTTTCGCTTGTACATCTCGAGTCGAGCATCAATGTTCCGTTTGAAATGATATTAAAAGATCTCATTTAGATTAAATTAGTGAAGATTTCCCTTTTTTCTGCGAATTTAAAGCCCCCATTCCTTATCCCTTAAATACTCGTCGTTCTGCAGGGGGTATATAATTGCCTCGGCAGATGTCGGGGATACCACGCATTCATTAAATTCTGGACTGGGGCATTTCCTTCCCAACTCTCCCCCTCTACAAACCGCCCATCTACTAACCCCCTTCCGTGTGAAAACTTCTGTGTATTGTGGCAGCATTTCTAATCGATTTCCTTTTCCATGTATGGATCGATAGACGCAAGTTTCTGTGAAGCGTATAAACAAGTTCCTGAACAGTGAAGAACTTGACCCCAACAGCGTGCTCCATGATTCCTCCAAACGTAAGTGAATGCAAAATACCCAAGGATTTATATATAAAGGGTTTTCTTGAATTCCAGCCCATCCCATGAGCATTGAGAATGGCGAATTTTCGTGGGGCGATGAGATTACGCTTAGAAACATCAACATTGAGGTGCGTAAGAGCAATCTGGTGGCCCTGGTGGGCACCGTCGGCTCCGGTAAGTCCTCGGTGGTGCAGGCCTTCCTCGGCGAAATGGAGAAGCTTGCGGGCGTTGTCAACACGGTGGGCAAGATGGCCTATGTGCCCCAGCAGGCGTGGATTCAGAATGCGACGGTCCGTGACAACATCCTCTTTGGGCAGCAGTACGACCGGAAGCGCTACAACAAGGTGATCGATGCCTGCGCCCTGCGTGCCGATATCGACATTCTGTCGGCCGGAGATCTCACGGAAATCGGTGAGAAGGGCATTAATCTCTCAGGTGGCCAAAAGCAGCGCATCTCCCTGGCCAGAGCGGTGTATTGCGATGCAGATCTCTATCTGCTGGACGATCCCTTGAGTGCCGTCGACTCGCACGTAGGCAAACACATCTTCGAGGAAGTGATCGGACCGAAGGGACTCTTGGCACGCAAATCTCGCATTTTGGTCACGCACGGTGTCACCTTCCTGCCGCAGGTGGACAGCATATATGTGTTGAAAATGGGCGAGATCAGTGAAAGTGGTACATTCGATCAGCTCGTGAAGAACAAGGGCGCCTTTGCCGACTTCATTATCCAGCATCTGCAAGACGGCAATGCCGAGGAGGAAGAGCTCAATCAGATTAAACGCCAAATCTCTAGCACCGGTGATGTCCCTGAATTGCTTGGAAGTGTCGAGAAGGCCATTAAGCTGGCGCGCACTGAAAGCCTGTCGGATTCCATGTGAGTACAGGGGACCTTTTGTTGAGCCATGGCATTCGTAATCCCAATGTTTTTGTTTTTTTGTCTGCAGTTCGGTTACCTCTGCCGACAGTCTGATGGGCACTGGCAGCGGCGGCAGTCTGCGACGTCGCACCAGGCGCCAGAACTCGCACGATTCCGTTGCCTCGGCCGCTTCGCTCAAGAAGAAGCAGGAGGTCGAGGGCAAGCTCATCGAGACGGAAAAGTCCCAGACTGGGGGCGTCGACTTTGCCGTCTACAAGCACTACATCAAGAGCGTTGGCATCTTCCTGTCGGTGGCCACGCTCGTGCTGAACTTTGTATTCCAAGCATTCCAAATCGGCTCCAATCTGTGGCTAACCAAGTGGGCCAACGATGAGAATGTTGGCAACGATACGGGACTCAGGGACATGTACCTCGGTGTCTATGGCGCATTCGGTTTCGGTCAAGGTGAGTCCATTGTGATTCGATCGCTGTTTATATATTGAAAAACGTATTTGTTTCATGTTCGTTTGTCCATTTTGTGGTTTATTTTTGCTTAAGTTTATGTCCTAGTTGTGCTTCCTTTTTGGTTTATGTTTGTTTTCGTTTATTTTGTACATTTTATGTTTGGTGTTTGGGTTTTTTCGTTTATGTTTTGATGCTTCTTTTTATTATTGCTTCTTACTTTGGCGCCGAGAGAACACATGCTGCTCAGCTACCTTCTAGACAGCCTCCTAGCCCCACTGCCCTCTTTCCTCAAACAATTAACCCCCAACCACACTTTGGCTTGAAACAACACAAAACACAGAACACGCTTAGAACACTCCAACACAAGATTATTGCGAATGCGCTGCACGGCTTTCACACACTAGGCTTTCAATATATGATAATTATCCCTAGCCATATGATGGATATATAACACTAATTTTTCTGCACTCAAATGTTCTGAATTTGCGGTACAGGATCTAATCGATTAATCGGAACCTGTTATCGTAGCTCAGAACATTCACCCAAACTAACGGTTCTCCTTTTGTCTGTGTGTGTGTGTGTGTGTGAGCGTACAAATAATTTATCCGATATTCTCCCTCCCCCGCTTCCTACCGACACCAACAACAAAATTATCGACAACAACAACAACAAACAATCGAACACACAATCGTAGTGTCAGTGAATTTCTTCTCATCATTGGCCATTTCATTGGGTTGTCTCGAGTGCTCACGGTCCTTGCATACAACGCTCTTGTACTACAACTTACGCTGGCCGATGGAACTGTTCGACACCACGCCGCTGGGACGCATTGTTAATCGATTCTCGAAAGATATCGATACCATCGATAATGTATTGCCATTCAACATACGTGTCGTCTTGGGCCAGGGCTTCATGGTAAATGATGATAATGATGATGATGATGATACGATGCCACTCAAAATGGCACTCGATACTAAGAATTAATCCTTGCACGACACCAAACAACAACAGAGGGATAGCCTTACTATCAATCATCGATCATGGTTCGGCCTGCTCATCATGCATTATCCAACACGAATACTACCACAATTACTACTAATCATCGTCGTTGGGCAATCGTTTTGTCGGGGTTTACCTGTTTGGGTCACTAATGGATCTAATGTCTGTCAATCTTCCACTTCTCAAAGTTATAACCGGATATTTCTCCACCCTGATACTGTCGCTGGGCTGTGTGTACAGTGCCCAGTATATGCACAGTATCCTAATCCATGCCACGTTGCGTTGGCCCATGGAGATGTTCGATATCACGCCTCTGGGCCGAATTGTTAATCGATTTTCCAAGGATATCGATACCATTGACAATACCCTGCCCCTCAACTTGCGCGTCGCCGTGATGCAAGTGTTTTTGGTAATTATCTGTAGGGTGCTCCGATCCCATCTTCCCCCATCCGATTTTTCTCTTCAAATAGCTGAGTAGGTCAGGTCCCCTCCGTAGCGTATCAAAAGTTCTCATGCCCTGTGTCTGCGTCCGCTGAAAATGCTTCCAATTAATCCTTCGATTAGCCTAAAAATTGATTATTATTTTCCAGTTATTACGTACTTTTTCTGCTCACTCACGCTGGCCCTTGGCTGCATATTCTGCTCCAAGGAGCTGCACGAGCGACTCCTGCACTTTGTGTTCCGCTGGCCCATGGAACTGTTCGATACCACGCCCCTTGGGCGCATTGTCAATCGATTCTCGAAAGATGTCGATACCGTTGACAATGCCCTGCCCATGCTGTGGCGCATGGTCATAAGTCAAGCCTTTGCGGTAAATGTTCAACCAATAAGCAGTGCGTTTCAAAACTATAAGGCAGCCAATAGGAATCTATAGTCAATTATAAATCGAACCGATTTTTTATCGAGTAAATTTTTCAATCTTTCAACTGTCTTATGGCTATGAAACGCATTGTACTCTCCACATTCCTTCCCAACAATCATCATCGAAGAATCTGAATCTCAGAGGAACAAAGTTCCTCAAACGTTTTCGAATTTGGGCTAAGAAAGTTAAGCAAACAGGAAGCTCTTGTACATACATGTATATATCGTAGCTAGTGACTAGACTGTACCTAAAATATCTTGCCGAGACTGTACATACACTAGAAAAATACTATTGCAATTGGAATTCCTGGCACTGTAACCAAAACCCCAGCATCCCCCCGTATAAAACCACTGCACGTTTCGCGAAGTAACAGCAAATTTGACACTAACTCCAATCCTATCAATGTGATCACTAACTTTCCGGGACCTTACACCTACTATCCGGCGTACACTTGTAGCAAAAAAAGAGACAAACATGAGCATGAACAACAGAGTTGTATTACGATAAGTATGTGGCTAAAACGTTTTTACGATTCATGCAGTGGTAGCTAAATATTTTTCGGGACTGGCCCTGGCAATGGGCGGCCTGCACTGTTCAGCGGAGATCTTCAGCAGTCTGCTGAACAGAGGCCTCAAATGGCCGATGGAACTGTACGATACGACGCCAATAGGTCGCATAATCAGTCGCTACTCCAAGGATATCGACACGGTGGACAGTGCGCTGCCATCGTTGTTCGCCATGTTGTTGAACACATGTTTCGGGGTAAAGAATGAACCTTACAAATTGCTCAAAAATCCCAACGCACACCCCCAAACCGATGGCGCATTGGCCCGCAACGTAACACCCAGCTGTACAAAGAAAATACTAACCGAAACAAAATTCTGCAATCTAATACACAACCACCTAACATGCATCCTTCCTACTTCAGTTTCAGCTTCACTTACCGCTTCATCCATATACTAAACAAAAACAAAACCAAAAAACAACCTCATTTGGAACTCGAAAATGCCTTTACTTGATGTGAGAGAGAGTGTCATGTGTGAGCAAGCCCTAAAGGGAACTGATCATTAATTAAGCATAATCCAAGCCTTAACCAGGGGTTATGGTCTCCTAAACACACTCTGAAGATCGCCCTAGTCTCAGAGCCCTTAATTTGTAAGCCTTTTAGGTGACAGAGAGCTAATGCAGTAGGAGATCGATCGCCTCATCCAGATAGCCATTTAGAAACCCGAACGATACCCATGTCATTGACAATCCTTTCCGATTCAATCCAATCCATCCAATCCGATCCGTTCCTCGGTTCGAATCGCAGGTGTGTTAGCCTACGCTGCGGTCGTGGTCGTCTACATGGGCGGCTTCAAGGCGGCCAAGGTGATACATAATGAGCTCCTGTATGTGATCATACGGGGCTCCGTGTGCCGCTTCTTCGATGTGACTCCGCTGGGACGTCTCTTGAATAGTTTCAGCGGTGACATGGAAATCGTCGACGAAGAGTTGCCCGCCACCCTGGACTCCTTTATGACCTTCATTTGGATGGTATTTGCACATATACTTTTACCTTACCTTACCTTTTTCCAGTTCTCTCCGTTCTCCCAGTTATTATTCTTATAAAGAATATATTTTTCTTTGGTTTGTAGCGAATTATTATGAGTTATGGTTTGTACTGGCACAAGTTTTCGATCTAAGACTTATACATTATGAACTCAACTCTCTCTTCCATGAACACTCCGCTATCTACTATCTACTATCTCTTTGAATCAAAAACAAATCAATTCGAATCATTCAACGAAAGTCAGGTCTCTGCAATTATGGCGCCGCCATAACACTCTTCACATGCACCCTACATGCCTCATCCAGAGTATTCCATCGACTGTTTAACAATCTCATGCACTGTCCGTCAGAGTTTTTTGATATAACGCCCAAGGGTCGCATATTGGATCGCTGCTCGAACGATATCCACTGTTTGGACCTGGTAATGCCGATCAATATACGAATGGTCCTGAGCACAGGGTTTCAGGTAACCCCCACCGAAAGTATCGTTTGCCTTCGTTACTCTTCAGTTCAAAACGTTAAAGAAATCTTGTTTCCGTTCCTTACACTAACCCAAGTATTGGTCCCTTAACACCTCAATGAGTGTCCTGATTTGGTCCTAAACTTACACAAATATTTAGTACAAGTTCTGTCCAACACAAATTTCTAAACACTATCCCTCGATATCCGCAGTCGTTGCCTATGTAGGTTGTGTAGTTCTCGTTTACCTTGGCGGCCTGGCTGCCGCCCAGAAATTGTTTGCCCATCTATTCGGTCGTATACTGCATGCCCCGCAATCATTTTTCGACATCCAGCCGCGGGCCCGAATACTCGATCGCCTGGCAAACGATATATACAAACTGGACTTGGTATTGCCAGAACTAACACGCGTCTTTAACTCGCAAGCGTTCCGGGTATGTTCTCCGTGACTAACCTACACACTAATCTAAGACCAACCCGACTAACAAACTAAATGATACCCATCATACTCGTAGCAATTTGAGGCTTTCTCCGGTACTCTATACCCCTAGAAAGTTGCTTGTATATATACAACATAAGATAGTTTGACTGGAGCGGGAGCATGTTTTCTACTCGTTCAAAACTCATCTCTTAACTTAAGATTCTATACCTTTTTTCCTGTGGCTGTCGCTCTCTCTCTCTCTTAATGGTGACCCCGACTGAGCCCTCATTCGGGGTTAGATCGTTGTCCGACTCGAAGAGACCTTCTCGAGCACTGAACTTTGTTGTCTGGATTGCGAAGCAATCGAAATCAGAGTCTAAACCAGAATTTTAATCAAACATCCATCCCGAATTGACAAATCGCAGGTATAACGTCATTCTTTTCGGACCTGGCCCCGGCCCTGGGCACATTGCACGCGGCCAGTGTGCTCCATACGATGCTCCTGGGTAACGTAATGCGTGCACCCATGAATATGTTCGATACGACGCCGGTGGGTCGCATTCTGTCCCGATTCTCGAAAGACGTTGAATCGGTTGACCAGAAAATGCCGCAGGTCATAAATGATTGTATCTGGTGTGCGTTTGAGGTAATTGTTGCGTCCCAAGTCGGCACTGCATAGTCTTCAAATTGCTACAAAAAGAACTTCCACAATTTAACCCAATCAAAAATTCACAAGAAACTAACAAAAAACCCACCCATTGGCGGCGCCCCACAAAGACTCTCCCCCCCACAAAAAAACCTCTCCCATCAAGTATTGGCATTCGATCCCAATATGTACTCCATCATCTCGATCTTCCAACTAACCCTCAGCACCTCTCCGCACACTCGACCGACATTTACTGCCCGAATTTCGTATATTAATATCGTTTTGCTGTGTTGTGTTGTTTTGGATAGGTTCTGGCTACCATTGTGGTTATTAGCATGTCCACGCCCATTTTCCTGGCCGTGATCGTGCCCATCGCCCTGCTGTACTACTTCGCTCAGCGCTTCTACGTGGCCACCTCCCGACAGCTGATGCGTCTGGAGTCCGTCTCACGTTCCCCGATCTACTCGCATTTCGGCGAGACCGTGACTGGAGCCCCCACCATTCGTGCCTACAACGTCGGCGATCGGTGAGAGTCTTTAGAATGGAAATGGAGGGAACGGACTGAATTTAATGTTCGATATTTTCACAGTTTCATTGAGGAGTCCGATGCCAAGGTGGACAAGAACCAGGTGTGCAAGTATCCCTCGGTGATAGCCAACCGTTGGCTGGCCATCCGCCTGGAAATGGTCGGCAACCTGATCATCCTATTCGCCTCGCTCTTCGCCGTGCTGGGTGGACAGACCGATCCCGGCCTGGTGGGTCTTTCGGTGTCGTATGCCCTGCAGGTGACACAGACCCTCAACTGGCTGGTGCGCATGAGCTCGGACATTGAGACGAACATTGTGTCCGTGGAGCGCATCAAGGAGTACGGAGAGACCAAGCAGGAGGCTGCCTGGGAGCTGGAGCAGGACAAGGACAAGCCCAAGCACTGGCCCGAGGAGGGACGCGTCGAGTTCCAGAACTTCCAGGTGCGCTATCGCGAGGGCCTAGACCTGGTGCTGCGAGGCGTCAGCTTCAACATCACCGGCGGCGAGAAGGTCGGCATTGTGGGACGCACAGGTGCCGGTAAATCCAGTCTGACGCTGGCATTGTTCAGGTAAGATTCATCTCTGACTCTCCCACGACTCTGTCTAACCTTCTCTGTGGCTTGCAGAATCATTGAGTCTGCCGGCGGGCGCATCATGATCGATGGCGTTGACATCGCTGGCATGGGTCTGCACATGCTACGCTCTCGCCTGACCATCATTCCCCAGGACCCTGTCCTCTTCTCTGGCTCTCTGCGCATCAATCTCGATCCCTTCGAGATCAAAACCGATGACGAGATCTGGAAGGCCCTGGAGCTGTCCCACTTGAAGTCGTTTGTCAAGAGTCTGACTGCGGGTCTCAATCATGAGATTGCCGAGGGCGGCGAGAATCTCTCGGTGGGTCAACGCCAGCTGGTGTGCCTGGCGCGTGCCCTGCTGCGCAAGACGAAGCTCCTGGTTTTGGATGAAGCCACGGCTGCTGTGGATCTGGAAACAGATGATTTGATTCAGGTAAAGACCTGGGGCCCACTAAAATGGGAGTTCCTAGTAACATTCGTGTATTTATAGAAAACAATTCGCACGGAGTTCAAGGAGTGCACTGTCCTGACGATTGCCCATCGATTGAACACCATTCTGGACTCGGACAAGGTGATTGTGCTGGACAAGGGCCAGATCACCGAGTTCGCCTCGCCCACAGAGCTGCTGGACAATCCCAAGTCGGCCTTCTACAGCATGGCCAAGGACGCCAATCTAGTTTAAGGATCTACGAATGTCAAAACGTCCAACCACGAAACTCATTTGAAGGTGTCTGCCCCCTGAATCAATCAAACCCCAAGCAAAAAGAACCCTAGCAATAGATGTAGTAGATGTACTAACTAATTCATTGAACGGTAGCTTTAAATCAATCAATTGGCAATTGGCAATTGGCAAATGGCAACTGGCAACTGGCTCTACCTCATGGCTAAAAATGTAGCGGCAGCAACTAGAAACAAAGCAAACGGAAACAAATATGAAACAGAAACCAGAAAGAGATGAAAACCAAGAGATAAGCAAATACCAACTAATGTTCATAGCTTAAGCGAAAAACCCCCCCCCACATTCAAAAAGGAAAACCAGTTGTGTCTTCGTCGGTTACTTAATAACTCTTATGTGCGTCCTTTTTTTATTTGTATGTAATATAACAGTATGTATGTATTTACATAGTCAAGTCGCGTATTTTTGTATTGTCTATTGTACTTAGTTTTCTAAAACAACAACACAACCGATGGAAACTTGAGGAAAGTTCAAGGAAAACTCTTATGTATGCCACGTATTTATGTACTTAAAATAACTGCAAGTGAAACGAAACTCTCACTCAAGAATTTTCTGCCTTCAACTGATGCAATCAGTTAGTTAACGGTCAATGTAGTTAAAACAATCTTGAAACTTTTGTAAAATGTATACTTAAATAATCTAATAAACTAATGGGTTGACAAATGAAACCCAGCCAAAATCCCACTGAAAAACGATGGTAGTTTGGTATTTTGGTTGGGTCACAGCGGGATATACAGTCGAACTTCCATATAGCATATATCAGAGACCAAAAAAGTACGTTATACGGAACTTCTGGTAGGAAAATTCGACTGTAGATTGTAGATTTATTTAAATGGGTTTCCTTAATACCCTCTTAAAATACTAATATACCTGAAATACCTTAAAATACCTGGAAATACTCAAAATAATCCCCCATTAAGTGGGTTCCCTTAAGAGGGTATTAATGGGGGATTATTTTGAGTTCTAAGAAGCCTAGATGGAAATTTCTACAATTTAGAAATCACATCCTTGTTTCCTAATGAAACACAATTGGGGTATTTAAAATATTTTATATATTCTCTATAAGAAAAAGAAATTTATTGTGTTTTTATGAGTCTTCTACATTCAAAGATTATCTAAACTACGTATAAATATACCCATTTGCCAAACAAACCTTTCTTCTTAAGCGTATTTCTACTTATTCATTTTAGTTAAATCATATTTTAATGACTGCCATCTTAAAAGTTCCACTCATATTTCCAAAGGAATAAATTTGGATTACTTTATGGATTTTTAAGTAAGCTTTAAGGCAGAAAAGATTTCCTTAAATTTGTTAAAATAACGACAGTAAAAAGGTGTCTTGTACAACACTTAAAACATGCTTTGGCGGGGCTGCCAACTCCATGCGATTTTTCGATAGGACACCAAAACTATTGCTCTAGGAATTGGCGCCAAGAAAGGAATTTAAACCAGAAGAGCCACATCGATAGAGCTGACTATTGTAGAAAGAATTTATATGAATAAAGGCTGTATTTTCGGTCCAAATGGGGATATAATAAATAATAAAATGGGAATAAATTAATGGGAATATTTAAACAGGTTATATGTAGATTAAATCAAAATAATATTTCGAGGTCTGTTGGGAAGCAGGGGCTCTGACACGAGGCTCTGACACCTATACCCTATCTAGTCCTATCTTGACCTGTCGTTAATATTTGGAACCAAAGCCTACAATACGGTGCGAAGCAGTGTTTACCTCTATCCTATCTTGTCCTATCTTGTCCTATCTAGTCCTATCTTGTCCTATCTTGCCCTGCCTTTAATACCTAGACAAAAATGAGAACTTTATTACATGTCTTTGATGAAATTTGTTTAGTTTTGTGAATCAAACAACAAACCTTTAATCTCATATTAGAAAAGTGCATTTTGTAAACCTAAATCACTTTCGCAAGCCACCCACGTGTATTCGGGTATCAAAGGGCACTGCCAATTATAAATTGAAATTATATAAGTGAAAATCCGACAACAGCCTACGGCCCAGCTGCGGGATTTGTTTCAGCTCAAAAACTTAATGAAACCCCACAGTCAAAGGATTAATAATATTACAGAAAATAGTCTTGTTGTCATCTCAGCAATCCTGCCAATCCTGCTCTCGATTGCGAGAGCCAAAGCCTTTGACAGTTTAAAGATTTTCTCTCATATTTCCATTGACTAATGTGTGGCCGGGACCGAGTCATAAATAATGTTTATAAACCACCCAAAAAGCAGTGTCCAAGCATTTTGGAGACAATTTCAAGGAACTTATTACCCAGCCAGTGACACAGATACTCGCACTAGGGTGTGGAGTGCGTACAATATATATTTATTTCCGATATTTGCCGGGCACCACCCCCTGGAAATGAGCATTCCATTTGTCTTTATTTGGCCACAGACACAAAATGGTTGCTCGGAGGCTGCATTTATTGACAATAAACAGGTCATAAATTACACACTGAATGGTCTGAGGAGTAGGCCCGACAATGTTTTTGTTCAAAAATAAAAGTCCTCTAAACTTCAAGGCGCACACAAATGTTTTCGAAGAAGAGTCCTTGTTACACTCCTAAGAGAAAAAGGAATTTTTGTACAAAATACATACATATATCCTTGATTATGCCTTTCCCCAGCTTGTGGATTCCATGGTGCCATTAGCACGATCTGGATTTGGAAGAGCATCCATGGTTAAACTTCTCTAAGCTTTAGTTGTGCCTGAAAGGAACTTCAAAGTGGAAGTTGCAAGGCCTTCAAGGCCTTTGTTGTTGATCTCGTTTTTTTTTTTGGGGGGGGGGAGGGGGCGTGGCCCGAAAGTGCACTTGAAAACAAAAAGCGTAAAGTTATTAAAGGTTTTTGTGCGCTTTGTGTGCCCGCTTTCATGTCACTTACACTTTTTGGCCATGTTTCAAAGCCCAAGCGTCGCCCCATCCAGTCCACCCTCATAGTCTGTGTGTGTGTGTGTGTGTGTGTGTGTGTGCCTCCTGGTCTTTCTCTGGGTAATCTTGGCAACGCAGCGCCTTTTGCATACATTCATCCGAGGCGGGGCGGGGCGGGGACAAAACTTCAAGCGTGCGGCAAATTCAATTTGAAATTTTCAAATGTTTTTCTTATTTTTTCCTTTTTTTTTATTTTGGTGGGTTCTTCTGTTTGGAAATTACATTTTTTATGAGGGGTGCTGGCTGTTTGGGGGCTGTTTGGCTTCTGTCGAGTGTCACAGCCCTTGCCCCCGAACCGTGAATGGGGTAGGCGTGGCCCAGGCCCCGGCCCGGCTTGAACTCCTTTGAAAGTTGCATTCGAAAAAAATTTAAATGAATATTTCATTGCCCGCGCATCAACCGGGAAGCGAAAGTGACTGAAGGATTCCTGATGTATGGCTGCTACCCAAACAAAAATTGGCCACCCGTTGTGCAGCAGAAGCTCTCGCAGGAGGTGGTTCCAGGACGAAGCAATGGGAGGTTTCCCAAGAAAGAAGCTCCAGCTCGTGCCTCCAGGCGTGGGCAGATCAAGGAGAGGGCTCCGGGAGATGCCCTTGGGCGGCGGCGCCATAGAAAAACAACAATTTTCGGGCGGCATCCTCTATGGTCGCTCTGGGATTGTGCGTGGCACGCAACTAAAGAGCACAAATCTTTTCCCGAATGTTTCCCATCGATGAGGCTGCTCCTGCTGCAGGGAGGTCCTTCAGCGGATCGCTACGCACGCATCAAAGGAGGCGGTGTCATGCGGCGCGTTCCGTTGCGTTGCCACAAAATGTTGAATCAAAAAGGAAAATATAAATGTTTTCACATTTTTATTTATTTTTTCGCAACTGAAAAGTGTGACTTGCGGAGAGAGAGAAGGAGAGCAAAAGTGAGAGTTGGGCGAGTGAAAGTGCGTGCTCGACAAGGTTGAAAGCTAGTTGGGGAATTTTCTCAACTTTTTTCATTTGAACAAAAGTTGAAATTTAATTCAAATGGGAATTTAATTCGCAACTGTTTCAGGTACATTAATTCCGAGTTACAATTGTGGAACATTCGAAAACTTTTGCAAAATATAAATAGCTCACGTTCTAAAATAAATAAAAAATGTTCTAGTTTTGTGCAGAAATTAATTGCATAAACGTTGCTTGCATATTCTGTGCTCTGATGAAGCGAAAGGATGTAGGAAGGAAGCTTCTTCTGCTGTTAACGGCATGAGTAATGGCGCTGTTAACAGGCAGGGTTAACAGTGAGCCAGTAACTGCTTCCGCTTACAGCGCACTGTTAACGATCCCTGATAGCGCACTGTTTCCGCTCCCTGGCAGCACTCTGTTACCGATCTCTGACAGCGCGCTGTTACCGATCTCTGACACTGTTAACGCTCTCTGACAGCGCGCTGTTACCGATCTCTGAGAGCGCACTGTTACCGATCTCTGACACTGTTATCGCTCTCTGACAGCGTGCTGTTACCGCTCTATTATAGCGCACTCCTACCTTCCTACCGCTCCCTGACCCAACCAGAAAAGCCGTGAAAATATACTATATATTGAAATTTAAAGTGAATATCGTTGGATTACACCTTTTTCAACCATGCAGCAAGGGCCGCGGCTCTACTTTCATCGTATGATTCATAAAACTACACAATATATAGTATATATTGATGGAAACGCTACCTGCCGGTTGTTAAACACATCCAAATCCACCACAAAACGGGTATACGAGTAACGGGTATAATTACACGCTTTTATAATGAAGTCTCCTCCATCCTCACTTCATCCATGCATTAAATACCACTTGATAGTGATTATAGTTTTGCGTTTTACGATATTGTTATACCTATCCATCTTTCATTATCCATGAAATCTCTAATAGACTGCTAATACACTCCGGTTTGTGCAACAAACTTTAATATAATCTCTTTCGAATGCTAATTAGGCATCAGGAACACCAGTTCCCACTCCCGCAGATTAACGCCGAAGGCACAAGTGTGTGAAACTCCAGCGGAAGGACCAGAAGAACTTCGCACTCGCACTCGCATCAGAATCATTTTCAGTTTGTCAGGTGAGTGTTGGGCAAAAATCCAGCCAAACGAACAACCGCAAATTATCCAAAAACCGAATCACTGCCGTTGGGAAAGTCCCCAAAAATGGTTTTCATTTGGTTTTCATGTCCTGTCTATGATGCAAGACATATGTGTGTGTGTGTGTGTGTGTGTGTGTCTTTGAATGGAAAACGACAGCACACACACACACACACGCGCGCGCAGAGATTCTCTGCCAGAGGTGACAGTGAACATACGGATTTTATAGCATACTTTTTCGCGCCGCCTTCTATGCGGCTGTCGCTTTCGCTGTCTCTCCTCCTCCTCCTGCTGTCTTTGTCTCTGTCCCTGTCTATGTCTCTTTCTATTCCCTCTGACAGCTGACTGTCTAGGTGTGCGTGTGTGTGTGCGTGTGCGTCCCCGTGTGTGTGCGCGCATGTTAAAATTCATTTGTCAAAAGGATTACCATGGTAATAGGGTTTTAAGCATATCCTGGCAAACATTCGCAGCATTTTTTTTTTGTGTCCTGGTTTTTTGGTTTGTTTGCTTTTTTGCTTGAGGTGGCCACAGGTGGCGGCTAATTAAAAAATGGGATTAAGCAATTATGACAGGCATTTGTACATCACACTCCGAAGGGAGGAGTCCCGCCCCCCCCCCCCAAATCCTTTGGCTCGCTCACCTTTGGCAAACAGATTTCTCT